GAGGTACGTATGACATCTTTGTCCAATTGTTTTTGCAGAGTTTGCTGTTTTTAGATTGTTGCTAGTTTTATGCCTTGTACAATATATATGATCTACGAAGGACCTTTTCAATACTCCATACTGAAATGATACAACTGTTAGAAAATAAAGCTGTCTTATATCTAGTATGCTGCTCTCACTGAAAAGTAAGTTTGATGGGTAAGTTGGATTTTTTTGGTTCATTATTTTCAGAAATCGTTTTTGTACTGATTCCATTTTTTTCAGGTGTGACTTAGCAACTCCTCCCCACCCGATGATTCCATATATTAGCCTAGATTCTACAAGTGAATAATAAATAATACGCATCTGTGGTAAGTCTAATATGGTTTTCAAGTATTTAAATTTATATATAATACTCCTCAGGGTGCCTGTGACATAGTTGACGTGAAAATCCCATCTGAGGTGCTGGTCGATTATTATACCCAAGTATTTCGTTTTTTCCACACGATCAATTCGATAAGTTGTATTTCTGTCATTGGAGATGGTCAGGAAATCATAACTTGGTGAACCACTTTTATTACTAGAGAAACAGATGAAAGTTGTTTTCGTGTAGTTTATTGTTAGCAATTTATGGTCAAGCCAGTTTATGATTCGCTTCAGGTCATTTTCAGAAGTTTGTTTGAGTGTTGTCCAATCTTTTCCCTTATAAATGATGACAGTATCATCCGCAAAGCTAATGATTTTTCCACAAGAATTCAATTTGAAGAGGTTATTTATGTATATGGAAAATAGTGTTGGACCTAAAACAGTTCCTTGAGGAACTCCATATTCAATGATACGTTCGCTGCTTACTTCGGAATTTATTCTAACATATTGTTTCCTGTTATGTAAATAGCTTGTGAAGAGATCGTAGGCAACGCCCCTTATTCCCATATCTTGCAAAGTCTCTAACAGCTGAGTATGACTCACTGTGTCGAATGCCTTTGCAAGATCTAGGAAAACACAGATTGTGGGGTTGCTTTCATCGATATTTTTGTATATTTCACTTGTAAGTAATGATATCGCATCTTGAGTAGATTTGCCCTCCCTGAAACCGAACTGCATATCAGAGAGAAGGTTATGTTTCTTGATATAGCTATTCAATCTATAATGGACTACCTTTTCGAATATTTTAGCTATGGTTGATAATAATGATATGGGTCTATAATTAGACATATTTTTTTTCTCGCCATTTTTGAAGATTGGAACTATAAGCGCATTTTTAAATTCAGGTGGGCAAATGCCAGTTTGCAATATCTTATTAATTATGAATACAAGAGGCTTAGCTACTGCAGATCTTACTTCTTTTAATGTATTGGATTTAATGCCATCAATTCCAGGAGCTTTATTACTAGATAAATTTTGTATTATTGAAGAAATTTCCTTCTCATCTGTAGGAAAGAGAAATATAGTCGAGTTCACAGGGTGCCTTTCTGGTGATTGAGTTGAAGGTTTTATTATTTTTGAGGCATAGTCTTTCCCTACATTAGCAAAAAAATTATTGAAGGCATTCGCCTTTTCCCTGTCATCTATTATGTCCTTATCATCCACAGTTATTTGTCTGATATCAGAGTAATTATTACTTTTCGAACTGATTTTTTTCACCGTGTTCCATAATGATTTACAGCAATTTTTGTTTTTATTTATTTCAGATTTGTAATAATTAATCTTAGTATACTTTATTAAGTTATTAAGAGATGTTCTATAGTTGTTGAATTCTATTTTACGCTGCAAGTCCTCTGGATTCCTTTTGTAAGTGGCATATAGTGCATCTCTTTTATTAATTGATTTAATTAGGCCCGCAGTAATCCATGGATTTCGTTTTCGTTCATTCCTCTTAATTCTGATTGTCGTTGTATTTTTATCCATCATGAACAGGAATTTTTCCAAGAACACTTTTGTAACGATGTTTGGGTCATTGATTGGAGAGTACTCAAAATAAATTTTTGAGATACTGTGGATACAACTTAGGAATGAATAGAGATGAATATAATTATTCACAAATTCAAAAAACCCTAAATTTGAATACTTTAACACATAGAAGACTTGAAATCGACCTGATATTCCTCCATAAAATTATCAATGGCAGTATTGATTGTCCTGAAATTGTTAAGCTTACCTCACTTTCTGTAAATGCTAGAAGAAGTAGAAATAGTGACATTTTCAAGATCCCTTTTTGTAGAACAAATTATGGTCAAAACGAATCCCTTAACAGAATACTGAAGTCAGCAAACACTCACAACAACAAGCTTGAGCTGTTCGGTTCATCTTTACTATCCTTTAGAAAAGCAGTTAAAAAATTGTAATAGTTTTAATTTTTAGTTTTAATATAATCTTAGTCATCTGTAAAATATATATATTGTACAATCTTTTGTAATGGTATAATTGGCTTGTCCGTTGATAAATAAATAAATAAAAAATAAATAAGTCTAATGTTTTTCTAATTTCCTGATCCGGATTAAAATCCAATATTTATTGCGAAGTTCAATAAGTGTGTGTGAAAATTATCATGCCCTTTTATATCTACGCCGGTATAGATGCCGGATGATGACGGATTCATCGGGTAATTGAACGTGCTCCAGCAGGAGCTCATACGATAGAATCTTGAACATTGATGAACTCGGCTTCCGTACATGGTGACAGACTACGGTGTCTTTAGTGCTCGAGTCGGGAGATAATATTATTACATAACAATGTATAACACTTGGAAAAATTAAATAACTGATCTGGAGAAATTGTTACCGAAAGTAGACAGAAATCCAATAAACCCAAAAGAAGAAGAAGAAGAAATCTTCTTATAATTCTCAACAGCTCTATCCATAACACTACTGCTAAATTCAATATTTTTCGAAATATTGTCGTTCGAAAAGTGCCATATTCTTCATTTCAAACGCAACCAAAAACTCCAATGTTGTTTTCAATCAAGTTTGCTTAGTAAAAAATCAAGGTGTTACCGCTACAACGATTTTTTCCAAAGCAAACTTGATTGAAAGCAACATTCGAGGTTTTTTGGGTTTGAAAGGACCATAATGTCATTTTTCAAACGTTAATATTTCAAAAAATATTGATTTAGGAGTAGAGTGTGTTTGATGAACATGTTCAGAATTATAGGGAGAGTTTGAACATTGAAGTATAATACGGGGTATTCCCTTTGAAAAATGTATTCAAGATAACGCTCAGCCGCCATTTAAAAATTTTGAACTGTCGTTTTTTCATTAAAATCTACATCCTATTAGAGCCTTTCAAATTTCATAGCGATATACCAGGTGGTGCAAGAGTTAGTAGGGAGGGAACAGACTTTAGACTGGCACTGAATATCTTGAGTAGATTTTTACATAGTTTTTCTTCGATGTCATCTCAACATTATTCGTGGTAGAGTTCTTTTCAATATCGACTGTCTCTCTTAATTATTATTGATTTGAAATTCAATGATTCTGAGATAAGAGTTGCATACTTTACAACTGAAATTACTTAGTAATGTAATTATGTAATGTAGGGCATCAAGAGGAATCGTTTGCTTTATGAGACGTAAAGTAATATAACTTTGCAATCTCATTTAAACACTGGATTTCGGAGTTTGCGTAAATGGATTTTTTTTTCAGTCAGTGGAATATGTGGTAGGTTTTTGTAATAACCTTCTAGGAACAACATATATTCATTGATCCACCTGATTTTTATTCCCAGATCAAGTCCCCGGACCTTCCAAGCAGATTCCCGTAGCAACATCGGCCAAAAAGACCGCTTTGGCCAAATACAACAAAGTAAAAATCGTCAACCTCAAAGTGCAGTGTCACGAAGACCTGTTGGAGGAATGCAGACGATTGGCATTGGAAAGAAACGTCACTTTATCATCGATAATGAACTTATCGGCCATAAAAAGCATGTCGGAAGTGCTGCCCAAGACGGCGGAAGAGTTCCTCAAGATCCAGCACGTGACCGCCGCCAACTACAAAAAATTCGGCGAATTTTTTCTCACCATCACGAAAAAATTCAGGGAACAAGTTGACGCTTTCGAAACGGCCGAACCGATTTCGGTGGAATCGAATTCTTTCGATGATGGTGATGATGATTGGTGCATTCCCAGTTCGCAGCCTACTAACAGGGGGTTGAAGAGGAAGTCTTCGGGGGGGTACAAGAGGTCGGGCAATAAGAAAGCGAAGTGGGGGGGCAGGGGGAAGAAACAGGGGGCGACGCCGAGAAAGCGATCGGGCAAAAATAGAGGGAGCGGGGGTTGGAAAAGGGATGGGGGCAAGGGTGGGAAAAGGGGTGGGGGCAAGGGTGGGGGGTTGGGATTGATGCCGGTACACATCAACTGACTTTTGGTTGATATTTTGTTGTTTTGTAGATTTTAAAGTTATTTATGTGAAAAAAAAAAGATTTTAATTCGGAAACACTATGGAAATATTACTATTTCCATAGTTATATTTATATTTTGTTTTTACGGTTTTCATCCACCTACTCAATAATCTGTTGTGTGTAATCCCCATAGTCTAAGAATGGATTTTATCAAGTACAATTAATATACTTGGTTCTGATTCAAGCTGTAAAATAATTATTTTTGTAATTAAAAAAATCCCCTCTACCATAATTAATGATTTTATTAATTGAAAGAATTCCTTCATCGTGTTTTGATCAAGGTTTTGACTCTCAAGTTTACCAAATCAAAATAAAGAAATATACACAATAATGCAGTCATAAACTTTGTCGCCCAGTAGACCTTTTAATAAGAGAGCTTCAAAATTTTCTTCTCAACTTTGAAGGAGCATGAAGAAAAAACTCTTCTTACCACCAAAAAAATATTCAGATATCCCTGATTTTAATGGAAGCGGGTATGGGTTCCTTCTTTCAAGGCACAATAAGTAAAGTATCTCAGATTTTAACATATATTCTCCCTATTTCAATGCACCGACATGGCATTATAGTAAGTCTAGAAACCAGTAGATGTCATTCAATATTCATTCTTATGATATTCTCCTTTTTAGAAACCCTCCTGCAGATGGACAGGCAACAACTGCAGAAATTTGTGCAATATCTTATCTCGGAACACCATACAGAGGTAACGAAAAATAATAAAAAAATCTATACATAGACACACTACACTGATTCTAACCACTAACTTCCCAAAGCATTGGCCCTCTCTACTTTCAATACAACAACAGGTTTACAAATACTTCAGGTATTAGAAGTCACACCACACTGTTTTACGAGTCAGCTCCTTACTCTCTATTTACGAGGCTTCAAGAGCGGTTGCTTTTGACAAAATTTCTTCGAATGATGTTACATTTGATTGCAAAACCTGTTCTCCCAACTAGTCGTCACGCAAACTACGAATAAACTGAGCTCTCAGGAAAACATCGGCAATAGATACTGACTTGATATAGTTTATGCAAAGTCAGTTGGAAAAACACATCACCGCAAGCCGTCGGTCCCTTTGAAAGTTCAAAGAGTGCGGCAGCGCGTCTCGACATTCGTTTGATGATCTGTTCAACAGACTTTGCATAAACTTTACATTCGCATTTGACTGAAAAATTCGCATTCAACAAGATCACGTTGAAGAGCTGCAACGTATTCGGCAATCGCCTGTCTTTCTGTTTGAAAATCATTCAGGAAATAATGTTGGGAAACAACCACACTTTTCTTTGTTATGAGCATTTGTTTGAAAACCTTCACCAGATCTTCATAAGATGAAAGTTTTACTGGTTTCTCGGGACCAAGGAATGCTGCTAAACTGTTATAATGTGTTGACCCAATCGAAACACACAGGAGCTGAGCAATTTTCGATTTATCACTGACACTTTTCATTGTATAGTAGTTTTCAAACCGCTCAAGATAACAGGAAAATTTGAAAAATGCAATACTTGAAAAATTAACAGGAGAACCAGTCACAGGCTGCTGGTCATGCATCACAGTCATGAATTGTCTGAACTGTTCCGCGTCCATTTAAAAAATTATTGAAAATGCCTATTATTCTAATAGTTCTGTTTTTCACTCGTCGCCAACTGAAATGATTCTGTGAACTGGGATTGGTACACTTTCTTGTTAGAACTAAAACACTGAAGTCTTGAAGGATATGACTTTATTCATCTTCTCTGACAGTATATCACAATGGGTTGTCTAATCTGAAAATCATCAATATAGTGAGGGTTACAACAACCATTCCAATCCGTTGTTCCCCTTCATCCTCAACTGGGTCGGCTTATTGAAATTATCTGTCATTGTGACTTCGTTACAATTACTATAAGTACTACTTTATACTCTTCCTCGTGTTACTCTTCGGAAAAATCCATTTGAATCGCTGCCACCATGTTTAATCTTCTTATATTGATATAAAATGTCTCCAATGTACATGAAACTTTTATTAATTAATTCTGAAAATTATGACAATCCTTCATCCATAACCATGGATACTACACGTTACAAAACCATACATAAGGTACAATCAAACTATAATATATAACATTTAGGTAATTGATTGATTGATTAATAGCAGAATGATCAGTCAGGGTTTGAAGCCCAAAACACTGCAGCCTTGATCATGCTGTTGACTTAGGTGAACAGGTTCGCTACCTTGATGAGGTTTAGCAGCCTCTTCACCAAATCATTCTTTGAAAATGCCTCTTGAGAGTTTACTGCTCCCAGAAGGTTGTATCTCCAACGCGCTAGTGCTTCGCACTCCAATATTACATGGATGGCAGTTTCCTCCTCCTCATTGCATAGTCTGCATATGGGTTCGTCTGTATAGATGCCCATTTGATGCATATGTTTCCTCAAGGGGCAGTGACCGGTTATTAGTCCCGTCCCTTGTTTGATCTGACTTCTGTTTAGGCTCAGAATGTCGTTAGTCACTGTTTTGGACAGTGTTCCAACCATCAGTTTACTAACAGTTAGGTAGTTAGGGTAGTCTTTATACAATATGTCACTTGATGTAAGATAGTTTTCTTGTAATTTATTCATTACATCCACACTGGCAAATTCTTTAACATGCCATGAAATATCTGAAAGTGAATCGTGTTTTATGTAAAAGCAACATTGAATAATGTCGTTTCTCCGCCCATTGTCAGGTGCTGCCCACGGCACAGAAGCTGGCCGACGAGATCCTGCAGCAGCGGTCGGAGATCAACCAGATCCCGGGGGCGCCCGACCCCACAGCGGGGGCCTCCGCCGACGACGACCACACATGGCACCTGGACGAGGAGCAGGTGTGCGAGCAGGTCAAGAGCTATCTGTCGCAGGGCGCCTACTACAACGCCAACAAGCAGCTCAACTCGCTCTTCTCCAAGGTGAGATAATCAATGTTAATTTAGTTAGGGCAAAAAGCTACAGCCGGGATTGGCGCAGTGGAAGAGCGTCCGTCTCACGACCTTAAGGTCGTGGGTTCGATTCCCAGCACGAGCAATTTTTTCAATATTTTATTTACGAATTAAATATTGTAAAGTTTCGGAGCATCGGCTGGGGATAGTCCTGCACGATTCGCTGTTGCGTTCCAATTAACAGTGCTGCTCCTAAAGTGACGCATGGAGTTAGTAACAAAGCCTACACGATAAGATTTTCAACCGATACCGTTTTATTGAACTATATCTGCGAGCCTCAATAATAAAAACTACCTGTGTCCGTTGTATGGAATCTATTCATCACGTGAGATCAATTGCTGAAAGTGCATCCCAAAAATTTGGTTTTCTGTTTCGGGACAGGAGCTATTTCACTTCCAGTCAGCTGCTTATGATCTATAAGGCACAGATCCGACCTGTCCTAGAATAATGCTCCCATATTTGGAGTGCAGCACCCAAACATACATAAGATATTCATAAAATTCAGCTATTGTGTATGGGCTGATTTCTAAAAGTAACTTACATAACATTTTCTTGAAGCAATGAACTGAGTTGATATTTTTCAAGGCATCGGGAAGACCGTTATATATTCTCAGTCCCAGAATTTTATATGACTTCATACAAAGTGTGAGGTGTGTGTTAGGGATATGAAAATCATTTCTTGTTCTCGTATTATGTTCGTGAAAGGATCGGTTTCTTGTAATAGTATATTGTGCAACAACTGGGAAAAGTGATTTTCCCCACATGTTGCACACTATACTTTTTCTACAACTGCACTTATTCAAAGAATCCGAATAATGTAGCTTATTGGTATTCATTTTATAATGTGGCACTATGCCACATTGAATATTGTGACCAAAGAGTAGACGCCTTTTCTCGTTCCTCAAAGTATTTAAAAAAAGTACACTTTCGGAAAATGATTTTATTTCTGTTTTTTTTTTAGATTCCATAAATTTTTCGTTTATGCCAATTCATACTTTTTTCTTGAAATTTCCGTAAACAAATCCAACTCTCGCAGCTTCTTTCATTATCTCTGTCTCTGGCGGTGTATTTATCAAAATCGTCACATCTCGGTATATACATCATATTATTTATTATGAATTGTTGGAATAATATTTGTGGAAAATGCGATTTCTATCAAAAGCACTAATGAGAACTACCCTTAAGAATTTAAAGAACGTCTTCTGACAGTTGTGACAACTATTCAAAGCTGAACAGTAGCCCTGTTTTGGTCGAGTCTTGTTGATTCTCCATGGAAATGTATGAGGTGTTGGCAAAGTGCCGTAAGAAAAAATATTTCTCACAGTATGAGCAATACATGGTTTTGAAACTAAGTTAACTATGAGAAATGCGCTACTTTTCATAGCAGTAGTAGAAAAAAGAATTTCTATTCTTATGAACATAAACAAAGAGTTCCAGAATGAAAAGTCCAACCAGAGGTAACATTTCAAGTTTTTTGAAAAGGCCACGACATGAGAATGTAGATGATACTCCTGCAATCGATCTAATGATCCTTTTTTGAGAAATGAATACGTCCTGTACTCCTGTTGAGTTCCCCCATAACATTATTCCATATGATAATCGGACTGAATCTGACCAAAGAAATATTGTTTTCAAACCTCGATTATCCCAAACATTTCTGAGAACCCTGATTAGGTAACATTTTGAATTCATTGATTTGCTCAGCTTACTGCAGTGAATACTAAAAGATATATTGTTGTTCATGGTTAAACCTAAAAATGTAGTACTTTTTGAATTCTCTACTTTGGTATCATTGATACTAACCGTTAGCTTCGACAGGTTATGATTTTGGAGGATTCAGAAACAGATAGTTATCACTTAACCAAGTACATAAGATAGACGTTGTTCGGTTTATTTTATCTTGGATTTCTGCTTCATTTTTACTTGTGAATAATAAGGCGTCTGCATACATGCATGTGAATGCTTCTGAAATAATTGAGGGTAATTCGTTGATATACAATAAAAACAATATTGGACCTAAGATTGATCCTTGAGGAACCCCAATATCGTGATGCAGAGTATTCGAAAAATATGAAGATCTGGTATTGTATGTTATGTGCTATGCAAAAAATGTGTCTGTGTCATTGAAAAAACCACAGTCGTAATGAAAACGTGGTCTTGCAGGTGCGCGAGATGCTGCGCGCGCAAGACTCGAACGGCGCGCGCATGCTCACCCTCATCACCGAGCAGTTCCTGCAGGACCCGCGGCTGCAGATGTGGCGCAACCAGGGCACGCCCATGACGGACAAGTGCCGCCAGCTGTGGGACCAATTGGGCAGTCTGTGGGTGTGCGTCGTGCTCAATCCGAATTGCGCCGTGCACGACAAGCTGCAATGGCGGCTGCTGTTGGACAAGTGGACGGCGGTGGACGTGTGTCCGCCCGAGGATCCGGATTACCGGTTGCAGCAGGGCAATAGGGATTCGGTGAGTATTCGCGGGAATCAATGTTATCAGGTGGCGCTCGGTTTTCATCGTTCCATGTCAAAGCCACGTCAAAACTGGGGGAAAACAAACTCAATCTCATTAGTGCCATTAGCTTGTGTACTGTGTACTGATAAGAGTGATAAGTTTTTAAATTCCTTGACATTATTTGTCAATATACGATCGAAAACGCTATAATAATGCCTGTTGTAGGTGTTCTTTTGGCGGATATTCTGCTCTATTTAGATGGAAAAAGCCGACCAGTAGTGGAAGGAGAAGCAATTTTCCGTGCATGTGAGGCAGAAGACTTCAACAAAAGGCACATTTTTGCACTTTGTCTACAAACTTCGGCGATGAAATCTTTCCCACATCATCACTACCAACAGTGCCAACACTTTATGTCATTGACAAGTTTGACAACTACAGCTACAGCAAGTCTATGCACTTTATCCATTGACAACAGTTTGTTTTCCCCCAGTTTGAAGTTCGTATTATGTAACCTAGATGACGCCCACTTCGTGAATCTCGCGAATACGGAAAACATTTTTTCCTCAGATAAGGATATACAGTTCTCAACACCACTCATAATTTTACTCTATTTCGAAGACCTGTATTTTTTTGAAAAATGACCGACCTTCATGCGGTTTTCTGTATCAGATGTGATGTTTCATCGGCTTCAAAGAGTAGCTAGAACACTCTGAAAAAGTCCGCAGAACTCTCGGGACCTTTTCGTGATTTATCCCTAATTGGCCATTGGAACAAAAATTCGGGTTTTTTTCCAAAGTCTTGCATTTTTTAAATTTTTCCTCTAGAACTCCACTTGAGCAGACTATTGGGAAGAATTGTTCTCATGTTTTGTGGAGGACAATGAAAGACGAAAAAAGCCCTATTGTGGAATATACAGGACGATAAGAAAATTGGACAAAATCCAATTTCAGAAAAAAAAATCAAAAATGGCCCATTCGATTCAGTATACTCAGAAACGGCCTTCTCGACATCCATCTTTTATATTAGACTATTAACTCCAGACGCTTTCGAAAATTCGCCTCTAATTGAAATACAGGATGAAAATTTTCAATTCAAACTTGTTTCCTGATATCGATGGTTCTTATCAACTGATTTCCAATATTTATTGCCCAAGTATGAGACACAGAGTATTGTTGTTCAATGTACTGAGTGTTTCACAACTTAACTGACGAATTACAAACTCTAGAAAACAATAATGTTAGAAGAATGTGGTGACCAGCATTATCTCCAGATCTTAATTTGATTGAACATGTGTGGAGCCGAATGAAACTTGACCTATCGAGAAGGCCAGAGGCACCCCAAAATAATGACAATCTTATCCAAGTTATATCAGAAGAATGGGAGGCAATATCAATAGAGTTCATCAACAATTAATTATTATACAGGGTGAGTTATTCTCACAATAACAACATAAGAAAAAAATATATTCTGGTCTGGATATTGGTTTCATGCAGAAGGCCACTTGTTGAAGCCTTTGAGTTTGATTCATGTACCAAATTTGAACCCAATCGGGTAACCCTTGTATGCAATATGCCAGATTGATTTTTTGTCAAACACCACAAATCACTCTGTATGTCAGTAACGAAGCGGTTTTGGACAATTGTGTATGGCATTTTGCGATCATAGGGTTATATGTCTGATTTTCAAACTAGACAGTAAAGAAACTTGTTGAAACCATTTTAAGGAACATGAAATTCTAACGTTTATATAAACACTTTTCTCCCAATTCTGAGTATCACGAGCCCACTGTACAAGGGAATCCAATTTTTAAATCGTTTGCCAGTCTGTATGAGATTAAAAAACAACTTCAGTGTATTCAAGCGAAAACTCAAAAAAATTTTATGTGATGCATGTTATTATGACTCATCTGAATTTTTAAACCAAACACATAGTTGATTCTATTGGTGAATGTGAGATATATTCGTGACGATACTATCGTTAGAGTATATACAGTTTAGCACTTTCTTTTAATGACTTATCGTATATCATGTACTCTGTGATCATAAAGGATGAATAAAATTATTATTGACGTGGGTGGTTTCCAGTTACTTTCCAATGATGAGAAATAACTGAGGGGTACAACTCGCCCCACGTTGGGCGCCAATTGACGTGGGTGGTTTCCAGTTAAGGAAACAACAGACACAACTACTGAACTTTATGAGTCAAAATTGGATCAGAATATATAATAATTATTTGTCAGATTGATGACATTTGTTGATTACTTGTCTTAGCTCTTGACATCCGTATCGACAGGGTGAAATTCACCTCGCCACAATTATTATTATTATTATTATTATTTGCAGGCCCTATAACCCTGTAAGCTTTGTCGGTTTTATCTCTGGACGCCCTTGTTTTTTGCATGAACTTAGGAAAATAACCATTCTCAATGCCCTTTTCCGTTTCAGTATTCGAACAGAGATCGAGACAGAGACAGGTACGACGAGCGGTACCGCGACAGAGACAGATACGCGGACAGAGAACGCGACCGTCGGGATCGGCGGGATCGCGACAGAGAGAGAGAAAGAGACAGGAACAGGGCGGCGTACGATTCGTCGGACAGCTCGGACGATGACGTCGAAGAGGAGCGCGACGCGTACACGCACAGAAACAGCAAGCGGTTGCGTCTGTCGGGGAGTACTTCTAAGTCACAAACGCCTGCGTTGCCCAGGAGCATATTCCACAGGTGATTAACTAGACTAGAGGTTGCGTTAAGGTGGATTTATGCTGCAACATTCAACAATTTATTTATTTAGTCATTTATTGAATCAAGTTGAATCTACATTTTGTCATCGAATATCAATTACATGTATATGTATATATTTCATATTGTATCTTCTTCACATAGGTTAGTGACCAGTGTGTGAAAGAGATGTATTATTTTACGTATAAAATTGTTTTTCCACAATATGAATTCTTGAACTGAAAACAAATTATCAATTTATACAATAATGAGAATACATTGAAATAAATAAAAAACGAGCTGATTCAAGAAGATCATTGATTTTTTGCATTTTCTATAAGCCAAATTTCAACGGTTTATTTTGATAGTATTTTATTATCAATCTTTGCCAGTCTCTATCACATCCTAAAATTAATTCATGAAAATCAGGGCAACCATCTCTGGATGTATACAAATAATCTAAACTTTTTTGGGCGTTTTCAGGGCTTTAGATGCAGTCAGCATGTCGTGGGATAACATGCACCTGAAGAATATCCTCTCTAGTGATACCTATTGTTCTCATGTTCCTGACACTTCCAGTTCCGGTAGCTTTAATTCGCAAGGACAGCCTTTATGGCACGGTAAGTCATAACCCAAAATCCATTCTAATATTCTATGTAAGCTAATCAACATTTCTAAATATATTTTCGAATGCTTTTGATGTTCTGATGACATTAAGGTGAAGTTATGAAAAGTGTTTTTTCTGTGACGGCAAAATAGTTTGACATTTCATCTCTGTTGGCAGGTTATAAAATTCCACTTTTCATAAATGAGTCCCAGATATATATACATACACTGTTGATGGCTTTTGTTGTGCTAGTTCCGAAAAATAAGCCAATAACACCGTCTCCGAGAAAGAACTGCAAGTCCTTTTATCTTCCATTCCACTTCGCGGTTACATAAATTACTAAACAACCATTAAGTTCATAATTTTTCAAAACCAAATCACAGAATTAGACTGACAGATATTTGATTACTTCAAAAGAATGATAAAGATGCCTACAAAAGATGCCTGCAACGCTGGTGTAATTCCTGTCAAAAACTTTCATTACAATTTCAATACAATTTAATATCTTCTCAATATTAATTCCTCATTTTTTCTGCCACAGAAAAAAAATTGTTTTATACACGGGAAAAATATTAGATCTTAGCTCTTGGTTTCTTGTATCCCTCCCGTACACGTCGGGAGACAACGTTGAGCTATAATTTACAACTGTTTCCCTTTGTATAAAGAATTACTTAATTTCTCTCAATATTTCCTCTGCAATAGTCGAGTAGACTATTTTTTTCTTTGTTTTTCATGATTCATACACTGATCCTTTCAATTTTATTATTTTCCAGAAATTGTCTGATTTTTTTCAAGATTTCAAAATCACAAATGAAATCTGTATCATTCATGTAGTAGAAATTTGCCGGATATTCATGAATTATCATTTATAGTTCTCCTAATGTGCGACTAGATTTCTAGTAGCTTTTCTTCCATATAGTTCAAAGATGTATATGAGTTTTGTTAATTCACAACAAATATTGTTCAAGGTCAACGTCATGTAAACGATCTACCATAGCGGCCCCAAAACGCATCCCTGTGGCAACCAAGAAAATTCATTGTGCGAATGTTAATTCTCGGCTGTCTTCGACATAGAGGGAAAGAGAGAAACAATCTTTATTGGGGGATTACCCAGAAGGCTATTGGATTCTTTCTGCCTATTCACAAACTTATACACTATGATTTCCAAATATACATGATAAATCTAATAGAATATAGAGAGATAAAAAAAAACAATTTATACAGATAATCACAAAATATTAATTAGCCTTCCTGTTGTAGCTGGCTTAATCCTTGGTAGATGGTGGTTTCTGTATTTATGTTTTCGTCGGAAGTTCACTGGGGTGGAAATGATTTGTGGTGTAATGATCGGGATGTTGTTGGTAGATTTTGCAATTGTCTTTCTCAGTCGGTGGAAACGCTGAAGTATTGTCTTCGACATATTCTCATTGTTTCCCGATCGTTTTTTCCAGAGCCTATTCCGTTGTGCGCCGCTCGCGTGGACTCGTTGCGATCGCACGGTCACGTGGAGGCGGCCCTACGACTCGCAGTCTCCGTGGTGCGCACGATGAAGCAGCAGCAGTTGCGCGCGCAACGCGACTGGCACGAGAGCCAGCAGAACACGAGCAGCAGCAGCAGCAAGGTGAGAATGCATTACAACGAGGCATATACCTACTAAACATACAGATAACAAGGGTCACCCGCAAAACTTCAAATTTCACATTGACAATTTTCTGATTTTAATACACACACTGGCACAATTAGGGGAACAGGCAAAATTTACACTAAGTTTGACATCAATTTTCTTTCGAACCGATCGCTCGATTCAAATTTTTTTCTTCACGAAATGGAGCTTCATTCTTCACGAATACATCTGAGAAATAATTACCTTCAAACGATGAGTCTTTCCATCATATACAGGGGTGTAAAGAAAGTACGGATTTTTCGGTATTTTTTTAGACATCCTGTGGACTGAACCACTGATAATTGAAACGATTTCTCAACACCAAATTGGAGCCCAATCTATTCCGAATATTTTCGTTTTTTATTCATCTTGATATCTCAAGTATTCAAGAAAATACAGAGTTTCAAAGGAAAGGTGGATATTGGTATCAATTTTACACCTCAAAACTCAAATTGGATCTGAAAATGTGTCGTTTCTTGACTAACCTAACCTAACCATGACTAAACCTCTACCATAGGAGACAGAAGCAGTGAAATCAAATTGTTCATTTTGTTCACCTCGGCGAAATAGTCTTTCCCTGCCATCTATTGAATTGGTGCAGATGCGGCTCTCATATGTCAAAAGAACATTGACCCACTGGTCATTTTCAATTAATGCTACAGCCCTCGCCACATCAGTAGGAGTCAAATCTCTCACGTTGAATTCTCATTAATCAAAGGACCCCGCACATTTAGTACGTAAAATGGCTTTCGGTTAAATTTTCTGAAAATTTGATATGTTTAAGACATTATCGTCCTTATCACACAGTCCAATTTACAGATCGATCCTATGACCAGTTTTCGAGCTACAGGGTGTCAAACATTAGATTTTGGCTGTTTAGAATATTTTGCATCAATTTGAATTATGTGCTCTAAGTCGTGATTATTCTTCAGTAGGAATGAACTCTTCACGTCTAATATCTACCTAATGAATCCCTCTATTCGGTTAGAGGATAATATCACATACAGAGTATTGTATTCCATCATGACAAGGTAATATTCTTGGGAAAAGACAAATATTGAAAACATCAGGATTTCGATTTTTACTCGATCACTAAAAACTCGAAAACAAACGGCTAGAATCAGCCAATTATGTGACACAGTATGGGTCTTGATCATAAACATGAATTTATATGATTACCTCTGATACCATGTCCGGTTGGCCATATATATAGGGTAATGACAATTTGAAAGCTTATAGAATTGATGTAACTCAGGTACAAAATGAGATACATTTCTATAATATATGAAGTGGAAAATGAAATGTCTCATGAAATAAACCACCCCCACCAAGCCCCTGATGAGTCACAACCACCCCAACGCATATCATCTCAATAGTAGCCCCTACTTCTTGTGATACCATATTATTCATATCTCGAACTGGGTGAACTAACAAAAATATTTATTACAATCACAATAAGTAGGGGCTACTATTGAGATGATATGCGTTGGGGTGGTTGTCTCATCAGGGGCTTGGTGGGGGTGGGTTATTTCATGAGACATTTCATTTTCCACTTCATATATTATAGAAATGTATCTCATTTTGTACCTGAGTTACATCAATTCTATAAGCTTTCAAATTGTCATCACCCTATATATGGCCAATTGGACATGGTATCAGAGGTAATCATATGAATCTTCACGTTGATGATCAAGACCCATACTGTGTCAAATAATTGGCCGATTGTAGCCGTTTGTTCTCAAGTTTTCAGTGATTGAGTAAAAATCAAAATTCTGATGTTTTCAATATTTGTCTTTTCCCAAGAATATTACCTTGTCATGATGGAATGCAATACTCTGTATGTGATATTATCCTCTAACCGAATAGAGGGATTCATTAGGTAGATATTAGACGTGAAGAGTTCATTCCTACTGAAGAATAATCACGACTTAGAGCACATAATTCAAATTGATGCAAAATATTCTAAACAGCCAAAATCTAATGTTTGACACCCTGTAGCTCGAAAACTGGTCATAGGATCGATCTGTAAATTGGACTGTGTGATAAGGACGATAATGTCTTAAACAAATCAAATTTTCAGAAGATTTAGCCGAAAGCCATTTTACGTACTAAATGTGCGGGGTCCTTTATGAATTGTGGATCGCTTGACTTTGACAATAATTAATGACATTAACAAAATAGCCAACGTTGATTAACAAAAATAGCATTTCACCAAAAGAACATTGGAGCAACTTTTATCACCCCTGCATATTCATGAGAGTATTCGTATATGTGTCTTTGAACAGTAAACCGATAGGTAAAACTGTGAACAATTCTCATCTTGAAGTAAAAATCCTCACAGGAACAAGTTGAAAAACGACACGTTTTCCCCAGTTCGAGTTTCGAGGTGGTAAAATTAATACCAATATCCACCTCTTCTTTGAAACTCTATATTTTCTTGGATAATTGGGATATCAAGATGAATAAAAAACGAAAATATTCGGGATAGATTGGGCTATAATTTGGTGTTGGAAAATCGTTTCAATTATCAGTGGTTCACTCCACAGGATGTCTTAAAGAATACCGAAAAATCCGTACTTTCTTTACACCCCTGTATATGATACAAGAACGAATCGTTTGGAGGTGGTTATTTCTCATATGTATTCGTGAAGAATGAAGCTAAAATTCGTGAAAAACAAATTTGAATCGAGTGATCGGTTCGAGAGAAAATTGATGTCAAACTTAGTGTAAATTTTACCCGTTCCCCTAATTGTGCCAGTGTGTGTATAATGTAATATCTTCTTATTGAATTGAATCGGCGTTTTTTTGGTCACAAGAAAATAGTGTATTATACAGAGGGAAAATAATAGATTCTTACCTCTCGGCTCTCTGGTTTTTGTCAAAATAACTATTGCCCTCTCGCAGTCCTCCTGCAAGATAACGGCGTGCACGTCCCGCTGCCTGGGCCAGTGCAACGCCGCCTCCACCTCCTCCTCCTCCTCCGCTGCCACCTCCCTCTCGGCGCCCGCCAACGCGGACGGGTGGGTGGGTCACCCGCTCGACCCCATTGGGTGTCTCTTCGACACGCTGTCCGACGCCTCCGTCGTTCCTGATGTCGACAGGCCGAGGACGCCGACGTATTTGGGTGAGTGATGGGTTGTTCATTGGGAGTTTTTCTATGTTTTCTTGGGTGGAGTTACAGAAAAGACTAAAAAAATCGTTACTGACAAGAAGATTCCTTCAGATGAGTTTTTATGAAATAAGTTCGGAACTCCTCAGTTTTATGTACACGTTGTGCAGAATGGCGATTTATAATGTCTAAGTCGTTCATATTTCCAAAATGAAGTAATTTTTTATTTTCGGGGCAGCAAACTGTGACGCACACAAGTTAAATCTAGTCTGAAGAATAATAATAATAATAATTTCTTTATTTTCTCAAATTACTTCGCACACCAACAGCGTGGTAATACAAATAAAAAAGAGTAAAACGTCAAAAAGTACGAAACATTGTTATACATATAACATATAGAATAAAATATATATAGATAAAATGACAAATATAAATAAATGAAACTGGATATAGGTATAGAAACAACACATACACGTCATAAATAAAATTAACAAATATGTATAAATAAAAGTACAAATGGCAAATCACGAGAGAAACTCCTCTACAATGATATAATGAAAGTAATTCCCTTCTATATAAACATATGGTACAGGATTACAGATAAAATTCATCTATACTGTAGCAGTTCTTTGACAGAAGAAGTTGTTTCAGTTTTGATTTAAAGATATGTAAATTTCCAGAATTTCTTTTGTTATCGGGTAGTTTATTGAAAAGTTTGCAGCCCTGAAACTCAAAACTTCTTTGGTAAAGAGCTGTGCGATGTTGACTTGGTAATAACAAGTGGGCATTTCGGGTAGAATGATTATCTATTAGCAGCTAATGTATTTCTATTCCGGTAGATATATGTGCAAGCTTCCATTATGCCAGCGTTAAAATTTAGCTGATGATAATGATGGAAGTAAGATATGGTGTAATTACTGATGCGCTTTTGTTCCAGAAATTTCACTCGACCTCTTGAGAACAGCGAGAGCAATGGTTCCGTCGATCTTCTGATAGATGGCGTCATTGCACAATTATGACATCTGTCAGTTTTGAAATTGTCGCAGAATTTTCGAATTCAGTGTTGAATAATCCCACTGTTACATATGTTCCGCGTACCTAAAATGCCATTTGCCATTTTATTTTCTCTCGTCAAAGTGGCAATAGCAGTATCATCATCTAGCGGGAAAATGTAGAATCAACGTCTCGCTCGTTGTGACGTAGAGAAATCATAGTAGGCGGTCGAGTGATGTTTCTGAAATTTCCAATACGTAATAATGGCCGAATACGCGCACCATATCTTACTTCCATCATTCTGATGAAGAATATAGCTATCGAATATCTAAAGAATGAAAAAATAGAAGAAGAAGAGAATTTGGCGTCGTTGTTGATTATATTATGAAAAATAACAATGATCAACTAACTAACAAAACAACTATAAACTGTAGGCATAGGCTAACCAATAAGTGGAGATCAAAAATCGATTCAAGTAAAACTGGTATCTGGTGTGCCTGTTAGTATTTTGTGTGGTGTGGACGGGCTCAAAGTATTATACGCTGTTGCAAGATATATTCTGCAACCTCACAGAAAAAAGATCCGTTTTATAAAGAAACGAATTCATTTGCAAAATAATGACTGATGCGTTATAATTATCAATTTGGAATGTTTCGAAAGTGAAAAATTATGGATACTTTTACAAAATATCATAATTTATCTTTATCAGTAATAAACTCCATCCAGCAAATGATGGATTTATGAAAATTATTCGTAATACTCTATGAAGTAGGGTTAAACAACCTATCATATTACATTGCTGTTTTGATATAGCTATAATATATTATATTCAAAGAACAATTTCCGGAAATCTAGACATATTGGTAATTCCGGCAACGTCTACTGACACAGGAAATCTTATTTTAACTCTGTGTGAATTTGGCATTTCTGTAGTACTTCATAGGAATGGTGAAGGAGCCAAGTTCCTATTTCATATATTTATTTCTGAAGTGAAATTTAATCGTAAGAAAAAAGGAAACAATACATAAATATTAAATTTTTACAAACTTCACAGTGAGATAAAAACCTCGATATTGGAAACTTCCCCATTAAAAAAATACTTCCTAACATCAAGTTGATAGGAATAGCATGATTAATGATTTGAAACCTTGAGATTAATATTTATATTACATAGTTATTCTTAATCTTAGGTAGAAATCCATGTTTCTCTCAAAGTGAAGTAATGGAGTCAAAGTACATTTTCAGCAATGTCGTCTCCACAACATATCAGCCTTAAAAAAAACAGTTCTATAATGCAATAAGATATATTTATAAAAACAAATCTGATACCGTTTCTCACTCGTCGCACGAGCTGTAACTTTTTCCGCACTGAGGGTTTTTTGTCCCAAGTTGCCATTGTGTATTTAATGAAATATATGTATACAGTGAGAGCGAAATTTTAGTCCAGTAGTCCAACGGTATGAAATTGTACTGTATGAAAAAGAGCACACTGTGGATTTTTTTCATAATCACATAATTATTTTGTTTTGGATGAAGCAACTATAGAATTACAACTTTTTGATGTTCAGATTTGGTGGGAATGGAAGACCAGCACAACAACATCAGGCCTCGATACCATCACGTGCCGGTAGTGGGGTCTCGCGACAGGTCCGAAACATATCTCACCCTCGCATTTGAAGTGGCCCTCATTGGTTTAGGGCAGCAGAGGATCATGCCAGTCGGACTGTATGCACAGGTAAATTCCACATTTTCTAATATATCCAATAAAAAAATTAAAAAATAACTGAATCATTTGAAAAAATTAATTCTTTCAGTAATGAAATTTGTCTATATTCCAATTTTGATATATCACTTATTTCGAAATTCAAATTTGTGTAGAGTTAGATATTTTTTTTATCCCTTCACTGAATAAAACTAGATTGATCGCTTGGGCTCTCGCATCGGCCAGGGGTGGTGTAACAAAATATTGATAAGTGACATCAAAACTTCTGTTGTTAATTTTCTTTATTAAAGAATATTGTGTTACATATTATCTGTATTTTCTTCGAGGTATGTTCATCAATTTTCATTATTTTCATCCTCTGAAAAATACATCCTAATGAGCTTTAACGAGCTTTGGAATATTGTATTTATAGCCATAAACATTCAACATTATAGTTGTTTTGGAATGATGATGATGATGATGAGAAATCTCACATTTCTAAAGGAAACAAAATTCCACTATTCTACTGGAGCAACAATAAAAGACACAATTTTATTCATAAAATAATCAATCCACATTCATTTTATTCCTCCCTACAAACTAACAGTTTGTCTTGGCACGAGTATGTCGCAAATATCGCTAAAGCAGTTTCACAGAAGTTGAGATCTTCACAAAACTCAAATAAGACCATCTCTTGAGTACTGTTCGCATGTTTGAGGGTCTGCTCCGAAACAGTCCCTCAATTTACTGAAGTCGGTTCCTCAATTTACTGAAGTCGGTTCGACTGGCTGAAACATCACACCCTTATTCAGTCAGTTCAAACACCTAGACCATCGTGTTACAATGATTTTTTTTGTAGCTCATCATAATAATTTGACGTTTTTCAAGAGAAGGATTCACAATCATAGGTCCATCCTCCAACATGAGACTATACCGAGGGGTTAACCAATGAACTTGAGGTATTCAAACAATTCGAAAAGTCATATGTTGTTCAAAATTGCATATCTCAAAACATCCTGTATGGAGCTTGATGAATGTGAAACCATTTCGAGAAAACACACCAGGCTTCATGTTTTTGCAGTCAGAAAGAAATTTAAAAAATTATGCTACTAACGGGGCGACCTCAAACTTTTCTAAAATGTTCAGACTTTCAGATATCATCCTGTAGGTCATGATCCCGAAAAGGTGGAGAAACGTTAGAAATTCATGTTATACCCAGTTGACTGAGCAATCCGAATCCCAAAAAAAAAAATCGGTTGATCCCATCCAAAGTTATTACGGTTCGAAAACAAACAAAATATTCGCTTGTCTCACTTCAAATGTGCTGCAATTTAGTCGTTTTTTCTCACTATTATTACCATATTCGTTCATTTTATGAACTATTGTGGTAATGGCTTTGAGTTTCTCTCTTAGTGACCATTACATTCCACTTCGAGTATTCGGCTTTTTCCTAGTTGATTATCATCACCGTTCGTGTTTTGTGTGCAGGAGAAGGCGTGCAAGCAGGAGGACCGGCTGATAGCGAAGCTGCAAGAGATCGAGCTGGACAACGGGCTGGTGGCGGTGTTGCGCAGACAGGCCATCATCCTGTTGGAGGGCGGCCCCACCAGCGGTCTGGGCATCGGCATCCACCCCGAGAGCATCCCCATGCACACGTTCGCCCGCTTCCTCTTCCTCTCGCTGCTCAACTACTACCCCGACTTGGCCTACGAGGTAACCATCATAATATACAGGTTGTGACATGACTTTGATGAAATATTCAAATGACGAAAAAGAGGTTCATACAGTGTGTTACACTTTGGTCCACCCCACCCATGTACTTTCGTATGCCTAGGGCGATCTGAAAATGTTATATACAGGGTGTTACATAATTCAATACAAATATTTTAATGACATATTCCTAGGGTCAAAATAAGACTTTTTTTTTCTATAAACATGTGTCCTAAAAACCACCCCCTCCAAGCTACAGACATCGCGTGTAATGGTAAGTTGAGGAAAGTGAATCGATTGTGACATGACGGTTATGACATACCACAATGTCAGTTTGGCATAAAAGATATTAATTAATCATTAGTTACCAGAGACAAACATAATCATAGCTCACTAAGTTTTTTTAGTATAACAATTTGAAAATAATGAAAATACACCCCTTTCATTTACTAGCGATTTTCTCTAAAACGGTTAGCTAATTCAAGAAAATGCAAGAGACTGAAATGTATGATTTTTTAGTGGCCAATTCAACGATGATGTTTGAATTCAAATTTTTTTGGAGGAAATAGAAAATGTTTGCCATCAAATCTGTATGCAACCCTCATTCACTCCTTTCGATTCGAGTTACCCTATTTTTGAATCAAGAAATGAATAGATCGTCTAAAAATACAAGTGCCTGTGAATTTTCAAAATATTTGATGCATAATTGTAGCCACAATTCAAAATTTAAGATTTTTTTTGCGCATCTTGCGATGTCTGTAGCTTGGAGGGGGTGGATTTTAGGACACATGTTTATAGAAAAAAAAAGTTTTATTTTGACCCCAGGAATATGTCATTAAAATATTTGTATTGAATTATGTAACACCCTGTATATACAATTCAAAATTATCTACTTTGTCCAGCAAAACAAAAGTATCAAACACAATTTCTTTCTGAGATCACAAAAACTCCAGTAAAATTAAGGAAAACGGATTAGGCATTTTTTTACATAAATTTTGATAATGGCTATCAATTCGGACTAGTCACAAATACTCCATTATACATTTTCAAAACAATATCTCATAAGGGGTGTATTTTTATTAACGTTACAATTTTTAATAATTACTTTTTCCAAGTCAACGTGTTTACTAATTCTTATGAGAATTTGAATGATACAAGTCTTGATGGTAGTCAGGATCAGATCATCTGTCTACAGAGTGAGATAAAAACGAATGAAATCTCCATAGAAATTTGAATTTTGGGAAAACGACCCCAACTTTGATTTTCAAATGGGACGACCTGTATTGTATTCCATAATCGGTATGGAGATTGTCATAACGAATTCACTCAAACAAGGATCTGCTCAAACTATGAGAGTTACTAGAATAATTATTATACCTATAAATACTATATTTTGAATGTAATGTAATACATTATGGTTTATTTTTTTTAATAATCCCTGTTATAAACATATACGTCAATTGTTTCTTGGGAATAATAAAGATGATGATATTCATACACGGAATGATCAATATAAAATAGGTATGTGGCGTAAATTCGGCTAGTGTTTACTAGAGTTCCTAAATGTACTTGACACTGCTGTTTTGACGTTTTTCTTATATTGAGAGTACGGACACTATGAGAAGCACTGACAATCAGGCATAACCACAAATAAATCGATGGAAAAAGCGGGAACTGGCAGTACACGAGAACACGGACGTACATGAAATAAATTTCAAAGGTTTGTCAAATTGAGAGAATTAGGAGAAAGATGCAAGTTTGTGCAGTTTTCGACTGTGAGAAAAAAATCAATTCACTCTATTCGAATTTCCATCGGATAACGTAATTCAACAAAAATGGAAATAGAATATGATGCGGCCGGCATGCAATATAGATTCAGGCCACAAAATTTGCGAGGTATTCAAATTTCTTGGTAGGATATTTTTCAACGCATTTTTATCAGGTACACTTCAGAACGGAAGATTTGATGTATTGAGAGAAAGAGCCGAATCCACAATTTATAAACAGAGCGAGTATCGAAAAGAACCTTATTCCAATTTAGAACCAACAAGAAAAGAAAAAACAACTCGATATCGACCTCCATTGAGGTCCTTCAGCCTTATCATTCAATATTTTGAGAAGAAATAATTTTCTAATCAATTTATGGTACCCTTTTACCCACTCGAGGTGACGCTATGCACAAAAATCAAAGACAGAGAAAGATATATGGATGTACTCTTCCGAGGACTTGTGGACTTGTGTAGGAAGGAAGATGCGAGGATCCTTTATCTAAGCGAAAAACACATTCTTGTCCTTGTCTGGCAAAACATATGATTTGCTTCAAAAGCGTTTGTGGTTATGTTTGATTGTCTAGTGTCCGTACTCTAATAATAGGTCGCGTGCAAGAACTGTCAGATGACCGACCCTGGAGGCAAAACATATTTGTTTACAAGTGATCGAAATAGTTTTCCACAATTATTTTGGCATATGAATCGTATTTTTCCGCTATTCATCAATTCGCTAATGCCATCACATTGTGCTGTTGTAAAATGCACAAAACTGCAGCGGAAGATGAAGAAATCCGGATGGTACATTATGATTCAAAAGTAAGTACCTACTATAGTCACTCACATAGTTTTCATTTTTGAAATTTGGTTATTTCTCTGATTTCTCATCGGAATTCTTTCTGCAATAGGATCAGCTAATAGAAATATACCTGAAATTTCTAGAATAATGCAAGAAGGTTGGATTCATGCAATCAATCGGTAGTTAGACTGGTCTGACATGCTGACGATCGTGTGTGTTGTAGACATTTTCAATCTATTAGCAGCATTAGCTTGTATTGCAGAAGTGGCAGAAGGCAGAAGGAATTTTAGTAAGGAATGACAACATTTCATAATGATAACTATGTGAGATTACTATTTACCTGAAAAATCATATTCCCTAGTCTCTTGCTGCATTTTTTGTGCATTGTACAACAGCACAATGCGAAGGCATGCTTGAATTAATGAATAACGCAAGAAACACGATTCGTATGCCAAAATATTGTGAAAGACTATTTCAACCTTTTGATTCCTCTGTAACCAAATAAAAAAGTGAGGTTGTGTTTCAATAATTCACAGAAGAATGAGGTTGTGTTTCAATATTTTGCCTCCAGGGTCGGTCTTCGTGCACGCGACCTATTGAATCGGTGGAGTTTATAATAACTATGGAATGTTTGTATGCCAAGGTGGGGTTGAGGGCGATGCGCTTGCCCTTGCTGGAGGAGCACGAGGACTCCGACGACCCTTTAGGGGGCAACGCGAGCAGCTCTCTCATGATGAGCCGGTCGCCTAGATGGTTCACCCTCGGCCACATCGAGACGCAGCAGTGCGCCTTGAGCTCCACCATGTTGAGTGCCGCCAAAGGTAACGTATTTTCGTAGGTAATATCCCCAGACCATGACAAATAGCCGACTATTATTTTCCTCATAATTCCATACAGAGTACCTTGTATTTTGACAATTTGATGAGATATTCAGGAAGTTTATTTCATGTACAGTATAAAAATACAATTCATCTAAAATTAGTGCTTCTGCACGTTATTTTCCTGTTTGAGGAAAATATTGTAGGCTTCGCCTTTTTGCATTATGTACATCTCTGGCACCTTTGAATTTGATATCTTCAAATGGATTTATCTAACGTTTATGTTCAGTTAGGTTCCTGTATAGTTTTCCATATCAATTTGGTAATTTTGCACTTATAATGCGATGTTTTTTTTTTTTCGTTTTTTTTTGTACTTATGTGTTTTGGTCTCAAAAACAAGAATTTGATAATGATAATATGACCAAACCACTATTTATCGAGATATTTCTCGAAAATTTTCTGAATTTCACCATCTTTTTCTGAATATGAATATGAAAATCGACTAGAAATATGGTTTTATTGAGATTTTTCTATATTTACCATTTGGTGAACAATCATAGCAGCTGACGAGGACGGCGCCATTCTGCATTCTGTATTCTGCTATCTGCCATTCAATTATCAAGGACATGACAAACAGTTTTGGATCAATGTCATGAGCGAAATTAAAGCAGCAAGCAGGAGTATGACGTATATTTCCGGGAAAAATAGTATCACGAGTTGTATTCTTATAAATATCTCATGATTGAGACAATAAACGAGCGCCTTGCGAGAGTTGCGCACACTGCATCCATCATTCTGGCTTCCAACATAATTGACGTTATAAACGTCAAAAATTTTATCGCTGAAAAACGAAGTTGGTTGGTCACGTGTGGGTCAACTCGGCTTCTGTATTGGTAGACCAAGTCCGATAAAATTTAGTGAACAAAAATATATCGCTGTGAAGAAGAAGAAACCGTGAAAATGGTCGATGCTGACTGGTTATCGAGAACAACAGTGGAATAGTCAATTCTTATAACCAATGAGATTTCTTATTCGTTCAATTTTGTAATGGTTATTTAAGCAACTAGGGAATGAAGGCGATTAATGATCGAGATATTTTAACGTGAATCACCCAGTAGTGATATTAGTGACATTTGACATTTGTCAAACTAATCAACATAGAAAATAAATTAAAATCGCCCGTTAACGTGAAATCTTGGATGAAATCCATATTTTCGTTTTAAATACGGATTACGTAAGTTATAGCATAAACAGCGAATGGACGCGGTGTATGTTTGGTTGCCTATGCAACAATAATGCAATAATAGACAAGTTGATCATTAAAAGGGGTCATTAACGATCAATTTCACAAACATTGAACTTACCGAAGGAAAAATTAACAGTCATTTGTAACGCTGCTTTTCCTTTAACTAATGAATCATGGTGAAATCAGTAACTTCGTTATCCAATCGATTAGAGACAAATGTGTATGGATTCGGACTCCTCGTAACATACTTCGTCGATCTAGATGGTTTCGATGCAAAATTCGCAATTTTTTAATTTTGCCGGGAACAATATACAACTTTGTTATTATCCTTTGGAATAGACACAAGAGTGTATAGATTCGGAATCCTCGTAACATTTTACGTCGATCTAGATAGTTCGCAATGAGAAATTCAGCAAATTTTCGAATTTGGCGGGAAACTCGATAACTTCGTTATCCGTTTTGAAGAAGAATTTTGTATTTTTTGTAGGTGAAGTGATGAGGTTGCGGACGGTGCTGGAATCATCTCAGAGACATATCCACAGCTCTTCCCATTTATTTAAGTTAGCTCAAGATGCCTTTCGCTTCGCCACGCCAGAAAACGGACCTAGACACCCGACGCTCCTCAGTGTGGCCTTCGAATTGGGATTGCAGGTTAGTAATGACAACCATTCATCTAATTATTCAATCAGTTGAGTAAATTTAATTTCAGTACTCAGATAACATGAAAGTATTTGCTATAAGCATGACAGACAAACCTCTGAAATTGACATGTGAGATGTGTCATGTACGTTCAATTCCCGCTTTCTTCGTCTATTTATTTTGGTTATGTTTGACTGTCTAAATAAAAGTGTCAAGTATATGAAGGGGCTCTACCTTGTAAGGGTCAATCATTTTGTTATATATGAAGAACAGTCAATATCTGCATTATCAGTCTAATTCTTTCATACTGAAGCAACTGAAATATTTCAATAGAACATGCTAGAATTAAACTGAATCAGATAACATTCAATGGGCGCGTACTGATAGATACGGATTTTTGTCGTGACGTCACCAATTGTTCTGATGGAATTTATGCTGGAACGATGGAACAATACAACACATTATGGAAATACGGATTCCGTTGTGTGTCATTCGTCATGTATCTTGAGAATTACAAGAGGCTGATACGAATTTATTGATTAACACTGTAATTGTAATGTTGACTCAAAGACGGTTGACGATATATTCTACTTTATCTCCCAATAATTATAATAACCGATTATGCTGAGGTGGAAGTGCATTGCACTTCAGTTGTACTTTTTTCCCTCATTTCAAATATCGACCTAATTATTGTACAATGTTAGAGTTCTGCTAAATAGCTCTACAACACTTATTACTCCATCTAAAATCTATCAAGAATCTGAAAATTAAAAAATTCCGCAATATATTTAATAAACATACCTAAAATGTGTCAATTGTCATGTCAGTCTCCTCCAAACCGCTGGATTTTCGCAAAGCTATTTCGGAATTTTGTAACAATTTGATGGATTCTTCGATTCATGCACATGACAAAATGTTTGAATGAGAAATGTACCCATTATATCCAATAACGGTCATTTCCCCTACCTGACGCTTCTTGGTGAGTCGAAGAACAAATTTTTTAGTAAATTCTGTTCGTCAGTTGGGAGTAGGAAACAAAAGATAGACAAAATGGGATATTTTACACTCCTTATACATTTCAATAAACATTCCTGAGTGAAAAGATGTGATTTATGAATAGTAAATTGATATAATCATATCCTTAACCTCCTTGACGAAGTGTACAGACTTATCCGATTCTCTTATTTCGTCTGTAACATGACAACTGAATCAATGATACATAAATTCAGTTTCAACGCAACCAGTTTCACTTTGATCAGTTCAGTCACATGATTCAGAACGAAAGAATATCACTATCATGATCGTCATAGGCACTGTTTTTAGTTGTTTTTTCTTTTTGAACGGTGTTCAAAACGATTTGAAATCAATGGATATTTCTGAGTTTATTTTTCTTATGAACATGGACCAGCTAATTTTCAGGATCGGTTTCAACTCTAAATGAGATGATGAATGAAGTGAAGAAGCTTTGAAATCACGAGATCTGAAGATAATGTATTTTCGTAATTATCCAATTATCTCAATCTCCAAATTAAAAAAAACGTATTGAAAAGAACTACACGAATAAAGTATCTTGGTATGGATTGGTGAAAAATTGAAATGGGACAAGCTTATAGAGGTTCTCATACAAAAAATATCTCCGAAAATTACATTAACATACCTCTGCTATTCCTGCTAACCTACAAAATAATTCGAAAGGAAAGGGAATAGAGAACATAATACATGCAACTGCATGAAACCAGCGAGACACGTATAAGTGATATTGGTTGTTGATGTGTCCAGTCCATTTCTTACTAACCTTTGTTTCACGTTTATTGTCATGCTTGTTTTTTTTACACCAGCAAATTTAATATTTCCATATATCTTGTACATACAATAATGATGAATTTAAACTCAATGTATAATCACTGAAGGACCTCGGTGGGTACTCAATAAAGCTCTTCAATTATATTGCGCAGAATAAATAAATTGTTCTCAAAGATGGATGCTTCATTTTAACACTTCTTGGAGATATGCAAGTACCAGGACATTCTCTTCGGTTTCACTTTCGTCTACATTTCGCATATATTTTTGATGAAGAATTCTGATACAAACGAAAATTGTTTGAATAATTCTTATGCAATATTCGAAAATAACAGTTTGAATAATTCTTTTACAAAATTCGAAAATAACAGTTGACAGTTAATACAATTGACAGGCCAGACGTGTCTCAAATTACTGAAGCTGTGTTTAATGAACTGTGTTGCCATTGTAATGTATTTAAGAAATCGTGTTGCCATGGTAACGTGTTTAATATTTTAAATGAATCACAGATAGTCAATCCATGATTAATCGATCATTTAGCGTGGTACATATCCGTACGCTAAATGCCATTTTAGTTATGTGAGTAGAACAATAGCTATTATCTCATCAAAATGTGTCTCCTAATCACATATTGTTGACTTCACGTAACCTTCCGATGAATAGTAATTTTCGCATATTCAGTACCATCATCATAGGAACATGTTTTTGGTGTATGCGCAGGTGATGCGGATGACGTTGTCCTCGTTGAACAACTGGCGTCGCCGCGAGATGGTGCGCTGGCTGGTGACGTGCGCCACCGAGGTGGGCGTCGACGCCCTCTTGTCCATCATGCAGAACTGGTACCAGTTCTTCACGGCGACGGAGGCCACTGGCCCGGTGGCCACCACCATCATGTCGCACACGACGATAGTGCGGCTGAACTTGAACTTCGGCCAGCAGGAGGAGCTGTCGGGGTGTGCGCGGACGCTGGCCTTGCAGTGCGCCACTAAGGTGACTATTCTTTCGCATTCTTATTTTCTTTTTAAATTGATCTATGGTGTCATTCATACGTCCTCCGAAAAGCATTTGACTGTGTTGATCATGGAATACTGCTGAGAAAGCTTCATCAGTATGGATGCAGAGGAATGACATACAGATGGTTCGAATCATATTTATCAGGAAGAAATCAGAAGAAGAAGAAAGTCTTTATTGTACTAAAAACCTAAAGTTTTTGTTAACAAAGCATGTGTATCATAAATCATAAGCTATAACTAATATTAAAACTACATAAAATCATGTAAAATATGCACATATATAAGGAACAAAACATTTAAGTCGAACATATACTAGTAAAAGTCACACTATAAAAAAAGATATTGAACAATTAAAATCGAAATACAAAACTGACAAACTTAATTAAATGCGTCTTCATAAAATTCTTGCAAGGTATAATAGGCTTTAGTCAGTAGTAGCTCTTTTACTGCCTTTCTAAACTCGATATGTATTAGCAATGAACGAATATGTGGAGGCAGGTGATTAAACATTTTTTTGGCATTATAAATAAAAGACTTTTTTATTAATGTACTTCTAGGAATTAGTAGGGAAACCGTACAGTCAACATTTCTTGTGTTGTATACCGACATCGAATGAATGTTCGTGGTATATTTTTTGTGGATCATACATACACTCTCTAGAATGAAGATGCAAGTCAATGTCAGTATTTTCTGAGCCACAAATAAGGGTTGACATGGTTCTCTGAATTTAGCTTTACTAAGGTATCTAACCGCCCTCTTTTGTAAAATGAACACAAAGTTCGAAAGAAATTGAGAACTATTCCCCCAAAAACAAACTCCATATCTCAAAATTGAGTCAATCAGGGCAAAATAAACTGATCTTGCTGCAGATATATTCAATTCAGATGAAATGACTCTTACTGCAAAACAACCAGAAGATAATTTTTTGCATAAGTTTGTAATGTGGGTGTTGAATGAGAGACTGTCATCCACATAGAGCCCTAAAAACTTAGCCGAGGATTGAGTACAAATTCTTGAGTTTTCTAGAAGTATATCATTAAGAGTGCACTTGAACGTCAAAATACATGTTTTAGAAATATTGAATGATAATTTATTCGCATCACACCAATTTTTTACTTCCAAGTGGTCAAAACGACAGAACTATCCAAGAAGAGAAATATTAATTATGGTGTTCCACAGGGACCAGTGTTGGGACCTGTACTTTTTTTATTGTTATCAACGACCTCACGAAAATTGATATAACTGGAAAGTTCACTCTATTCGCAGATGATACTACTATATTATGGAACAGTAGGAATCCTCGAGATCTGCATCAAATGAAATCATCTGATTTGAAAAAGGTCAAAGATTGGTGTGACGTCAATATTCTGTCGTTCAATATATCTAAAACTAGTATAATATCATTCAGATCCTCCCTTGATGAACTCACATTTGGTGATAATTTTATTGAAAATAGAAATGATACTAAATTTGTGGGATTGTTCATCGACAAGAATCTGAAATTTGGTAACAACGTCAAGCTGCTCACTGGTAAGATTTCTTCTGGATGTTATGCAGTGAGAGTGATTTCTAGGGAATTAGGATTCTTTACTGCCAAGATGGTATATTATTCACTAATAGATTTCCAATTCTGTTTGCCTGATGAATAAACACAAGTTATAATTAACTACAACAGCATCCTCTACCCACAAGAGAGTTTATTAAAGATCCCATATACTATAATGGTGGGAAAATGTGTAACCACTTGCCAGTTGATATAAGGTCAGTAAGTATGAATGACCGTCAATTCAGGAAGAAAGTCAAAAAGTTCCTCTCTGATAGACCCTATTACAGTTTGCAGGAATATTATAGTGATACGTTTGAATTGTGATATTTTAGTATTTCAAGAGATAGATCCAACAGTGAACCCAAGGCGGAAGTTTCCGAAAAACACACTATTGGAATGCTTAATCAATTCAGAAGACTGAATTTCCTTCAAAATTCTTGCCTCACAATATACTTTTCTTGTGTCACAGGCTGAAGGACCTCGGTCGGTAGCCTTTTGGGTATCCAATAAAGCTCCTTAACTATTATTTAGTATTTTAATGTGGTATTTATTTTGACTATATTGTCTCGTATTTTTATGTCCTTATATTTTAACCTTTTTTACAATATTATCTGACCTAGCTTTGTCAACAAGATTCTCCTTCAGACAAAAAAGCATGTTATTATTATTATTATTAGGTATTTGGGATTTTTCGGTTGTTATGGCGATAAGATGACATTATCATCATTTGTTATCGGGCGTCTACATTAATTTTATTATTTTTTGACCTAGCTTTGTCAACAAGATTCTTCTTCTGACAATAAAGCATATCATTATTATTATTATTAGTTATTTGGGATTTTTTTTCGATTGGTATTATCCGGCGTCTACGTTAGTTTTATGATTTTCTATCGCGAATCCTTGCGAGTTTGTCATTATATCACTGGATGCATTGTGATGGTATGTCGTAGGACCCTCCGAATTGTGCCTTGAACGCGTTGACGTTGTGCGAGAACGAGGCTCTCGCCTTCGAGACGGCGTACCAGATCGTGGTCGATGCCGCCGCCCACATCATGACCTCCTCGCAGCTGTTCACCATCGCCCGGTATATGGAGCACCGCGGCTACCCCACCAGAGCGTACAAGCTGGCCATGCTCGCCATGAAGAACATCCATCTCGACTACAATCAGGTGAGCGCTATAGATTTTCGAACACTATCAATTTGTTATTACAGATTTCTTGGGATTGTTTCTTCTTCTTGGTTGATGAGAAATCGTTTCGTGCTATGAAAAACATGATTTAATATAGATGGAAGTACGAAACTCTTAACCCATGCTATTAAAATGCCAAGTATCTTTGTTTCAAGATATATTTCAATTCTACTACCAGAATATGATTCTTCAAACACATTTACATGAGGAAGGAATTCTTGTTAGAATTAAACTGTTGCCACTGTTGCCATTTCTTGCCACCATTCTGACCATTGACGACGATTGGCAGGGTCAATTGCACCTTGTAAGCGTGTAAATGCAAGTCTTTATGCATAATGTTCATCAACGACGAGCGTGAGAGGTGCAATTGTTGAGCACGACGACGATTTGAAGTGGACGGCTCTTCAGCCACACTATCGCGAACAGCAGCAATATTCTCTGCAGTACGAGCTGTACGAGCATGCACTGGTGTTTTCACATCTACAGATCAGGTTTGCTCAAATTTTTGCACGATATGTATTTTAAAAAAAAATAAGCCTAAGTAGCTTTAAAGCGTTGCTCGATTATGTATCTTTCCATGGTTCAAATTGACGTTTAGGTGTGATCCACATTCAACATCGGCCCTTCAAATTCAACCACCCTTTACAAGGAATATTTTGAGAAAATAATCTACGACTATATCGAAAAACAAATAAGAAAAAACACCAAAAAGAAATATTTATAGACATTTCGCTAACTTCATCTTCCCCGTACCTTAGGACACCCACCCGGCCATCAACGACATCCACTGGGCGTGCGCCCTCAGCCACTCGCTGGGCAAGTCGGAGCTGTCGAACGTGATCCCGTTGCTGGTGAAGAACGTCCAGTGTGCCACCGTCCTCTCCGACATCCTGCGCCGCTGCAGCATGACCGCGCCGGGCATCTCGTGCCCCCACCCCGCCGCCCCGCTGGACACCGGCAAGCACGGGCACGCGCATCGCAGCAGGAGCTGTACGGCGGGCGGCATCAAACCGCTGTCCTACGATCGGTGAGTATATGGCATCTACAACTGTCCAAAAACGGCACTTGTTTGATAGTTATTATTTTACTAGGCAGAAAAGTATTAGATTAACTGCTGCGGTTGATAGTTCATTGTGAATTCACCCAATGTCAGTGTCAATTTTAATTACTAATTTCATTAGAATGTCTTGGAACGTTGCATAGCAACAAACTTTTTCTGCCTAGGCAGTAAAAGTACACCTTTTCAGCCTGTTAAGCCAAGAAACCACTATCCCTGCCACTTGGAGAAATAGATATTTATTATACAAGGGAAAAAAGTAGTAGATTTTAGCTCCAGGTTGGTTGAGACAAAAACAGGTTGGTTGAGACAAAAAACCGTGAGCTAAAATCTAATATTTTTCCCGTGTATAATACAATATTTTTTTCTGTGACAGAAGAAAGGACGAATCAATATTGATAAGATATTACATTATTTTGAAATCTGAAAATTATCGACGTGAAATTCTAAGTTTTTAACATTAGGGACACCTGCGTTGTAGGCATCTTTATCATTCTTTTGAAGTAATCAAATATCTGATGTCACTTCTGTCAGTCTAATTCTGTGATTTGATTCAAAAAAATTGCGAATTTAGTGGTTGTTTAGTAATATACGCCACCGCGAAGTCGAATGGAAGATAAAAGGACTTGCAGTTTTTTCTCGGAGACGGTATTATTGACTTGTTTCTCGGAACTATAGCACAACAAAAGCCATCAACAGTGTATATATATGTGATATATATCCAGCAAAAAAGTACTCACTTTTTTCCCACGGGAAAAAAGTAATTTATAAAAAGTGACATTTTATATCTCACCAACAGAGATGAAATGCCAAACTTTTTTCCCGTAACAAATAAAAATGTATTTGGTGTGCCTGAAATTTGTAATTTTCAAGTATCAATATAGGTGTGTTCGTAAACTCTCACACTGCATACACATTTACACCAAAATATTACACTTGTACAAGATTTATTGGGCCTCTCATATTTCAATGCGGGGTCAAGTTGGTAGATTTGAAGAGAAAGATGGAAGAGAACTCGGTTTCTGTATTAATAACCCATATATTACACCAATTACTACAAGTACTTCTACACCATCCATCACCGTTTATTTAATAATTTAATCAATGTTCAATTTAATCCATTTAATCATTTCTACAAAATATACAAATGAACAAAATATATATCTAATCTAATAGTCAAATACGAAAATCAAGGTTGGCAATAAGTTAATTCTGTTGGCAGTAGATTGAACATCCTGGGGGCATAAAAAGCAAAAAATCGTTGGCTGATATCTTTCAGTAACAACAGGAGTAGATACGTTGTTTTTGATTTCAATTCTAGTTGAATACGGATGAGACATGTAGTTTTGGGTTTTGTCTTTTTTTTGCATGTAAATACAGTTTGTGAGGAAGTATAGTGATCTTACATTTAGGATGTCTTCATCATATAATAAAGCAGTTGAATAATCCCTTTTTCTAAAAAGGATTATTTTTAATTTGTAATTCAGCTGGTTCAAATATTATCATATAGTCCACTCCACACTAGAATACCATATCGTATAACTGTTTCTACTTATGATTTATAGACTGTTAACAGTTTTTTTCCCAAGTATGTTTCTCAATTGGTAGAATTTATAAATGAATCTCCTGATTTTCTTAGTTACCTCGTATATATGGGCGTGCCAATCGTGCCATTTGAGATTATTATCAACTGTTATTCCCAGATATTTGGTAGTAGTTGTTTCATTAATAGAGTCAGTGGAATTATCAATTTGTAGTGATGTAAAATTTGGTCTTGTAGTTTTGTTGACAGAGAATGCTATGTATGTAGTTTTCTTCAAATTCAGAGATAGTTTATTATAATCAAGCCAGTGTTCAACTTTCGAGATTCCTCGAATCATTTTATTCTTAACTTCATTCATATTGGTAGAGCAAGTCCGATAAAATTTAGCAAACAAAATAATATCGCTGTAATACAGAAGAAACCGTGAAAATGGCCGATTCTGATTGATTCTCGAGACCAAGAGTGGAACAGTCAGGCTAATAATTCCTTTTGTACACGCAGGCCCCCTTTGCGTCAGCTGCTGGAGGCGGCCGTAGCTGCCTACATCAACACGACGCACTCCCGCCTCACACACATCTCGCCCCGGCACTACGGCGACTTCATCGACTTCCTGACGAAGGCGCGCGACACGTTCGTGCTCGCCCAAGACGGGCATGCGCAGTTCGCGCAGCTCATCGAGAACATGAAGATCGCCTACAAGGGCAAGAAGAAGCTGATGTTCCTGGTGAAGGAGCGGTTCGGCTGATACGCGGCCAAAAAGTGGTGGGGTGCTCACGATTTTCGGGGATGAGAGGGAGAATGGCGAGGAGGGAGGGTTTGGCATAGGGCGAGGCGTGCGGAAGGCATGGTCGAGTGAGGGCTAACGTTTTTGATGGCGTGTTCCACTCGGCACTGAGCGGGTTTTGCGTGACCCACTGAGAATTTCGAGAGCGAACTTTGGTGTCGAGCGAAGATTCCACTTTCTTTTGAACTTCATTGCAATAATTTACAAAATGATGGATCCTTCAGAGACTAGCATTGATTGAGATCAGCATGTACCAAAATTCAAAATTACCTGAAAGTTGAAGAAATCTATTGAGATATGCAGGTATAGTAATGACTTCGTGAACGACTCTTCAATGCTAACAAGCCTATTCAGTAAAAAGTCGTTATTTTACGAGTGGTTAGATAACAACTATCGTTATCCTAATATGTAACGACAATTCGAACGACTTTATGAAAAAATGCATTCTGTAAGATATGTCGTTGAAATGTCATAATGTGACATTATTTATCTTAAATTGACCAATCGTTTTGTATATCATATATATCAGAGATCTTCTACCGAGTCAAACAGTGATTCGTTTCCATCAAATCAATATGAACCCACAAACCCCAATATCCTGGATGGAACTTGGAGTGGTTTGGTTCTATAATTGAATAGTTCCAGAGGCCCAATGGGGGATGAAAAGCAATGAAGAACAGTACCTACGTATTATTTTTATATGGGTTTTGAAAAAAAAAAGAGAATTCAAAGTTTTGAATAATTCAGCTCTCAATCTACCTATTTTGTAACTTGAAATCATTCCCTTTTTTAACATATATAATATTTTTAAGATTTGGTACAGTGAGGTAATTATCTACAAGTATGTCTGATATTTCATAGATACATCTGCGTGGGACATAGCTCATGATTTGTCTATTTCTATAAATTTTTGGTAACAACAGATAGGTACATCAGTACGTACTAATAAATACGTAGGTATTTTCCGATTATATTTTCAACAACTGATGGTATATACTAGTATTTCCTTTGGCCTACTTGGGATGCTGCAACATATTATGAGAGAATACCCCCCAAACTATAGCTCTCTGGGTAACCGACAATCATCCCGAAAGTTTCCTTCATAGGACTTTCGAATGGTTTACTAGCGTCCCTCAAGCGTCTATTCAATTTTTTATTACTCCTATGAAACCCTTCTGAAAATTAAAGAGACTGACTAGATCCATCTCCAACAGGAAACCGATGGATGAGCGGATATTATGTTCATAGTTTTTGTGTTCATGTTATCCTACCGATACTCTGAATAGCTATCGTTTATAAATGATGTTCGTTCGTTACCGACTGTCAAATCGGTAGTGAATTCGATTCAAGAAAATAATCGTTATTTAACGATATGTTATTCACTAACGACACATAACGATAACGTTATGAGCTACTGAATAGGCCTGTCACAAGCACTGTTGTCGCCATTCAATTAAACATCATTGACAATGAACAAAACATCTTCATCCATAAAGGGCGCCGTACATTATGCTATTTCTCGGCAAGTTTGAGGCAATGCAATTTTCTCGCAATTTTCTCAATTTATTGCGAGTCGCCTTACATTGAGATATTTCTGTCATATTTTCTTGTTCATATTCACTATTTTCAGTTTTTTTGAGCCTTCAATGTACTTTTTGAGGTTATTTGGTGTTTCAGGCCACGTTATTGAGAAAATTTGTATTTTATCAAGATGCTACGATGAATATTACTAAAAATTTTACTAAACTTGCATTGAAATTGCAGGAAAAATATGACGGGTTCTATTACGAAACTTGCATGAAACTTGCCGTGAAATATCATAGACGCATGCGCATTGTTCGATTCAAAATTGCATTGCATCGAACTTGCTGGTGAATAGCATAATGTACGGCGCCCTTAAGACTGTTGCTAGCAGTGCTCATAGAGAACCTACAAGAGATGGATGAATCAATTTCTTGTCGACCAGCAAAATCAAACTTTTTGAATGACAAAACAATGAAATTTCTGGCAAGGACAAGATGGTCGCACCAACTCTCGATTTCTATTCCACTGCTCTGAGATGGAACAGTACTATAAGGAAGAACCGAGCCAGTGCCGTTGATACTTGCTCTGTACTAGTGCGTATAAATCCGCGTGTGGAAAACGCTATAAGTCTCATTGGTTGGCGTTACAAGAGCGTGAGGTCTTCTTCTTTCTTTTTGTGGCCTTCGTATTTAAACAGCAGCCATAATTTATTCTTCCTTTATTTCCTTGGTCTACAGAGAAACCTCGCCGTGTGGCAAGTCTGACTTTGTAACTATACTCTTCTCTGGATTTCCAGTAGATTCCTCTTCAGGGTAGCTCTTTTTATCACTCTACTTACTACTACTACAAGGACGCCGCTTTTCCACAACCATGCCCGGAGGTCGACTCCATCTTTGTTCTGGCTTTCTTCATAATTTTTGATCGTCAGTGATCTCTTTATCCGCAAATCCGTTGTCATCCGGGCTAGGTACCGGCATATAGATAGAGGATTACGATTGTCTTCCTGTGTGCCCTTATTCGATAAATCCGTTATCATCCGGCCTGGTTACTGGCATAGAGATAATCGGGCCTGATATTTTCCACACACACTTATTAAACTCCACATTACACATTGAAGTTTCCTCCATTAGAAAATTTAGGCCTTGCACATACGTACACTTTACTTCCGACACACCAAGATGCCGCCTGTCTTCCACCATGGCCGATAGATCTATGTCGAAAGTCAAAATCTTGTCCGATTGATTCTATTTTCTGAAAAAATGATGTGGCGTATGTGAACAAATAGAAAATATCAAGTTATGGTAAGACTTTGATCAGTCTTTCGTTTTTTACTCTGTGGAACTCAACTAGTCATTTTTAGATCAATTAACAGAGAAGAGGATATCTTCGAAAGAGGCCAAATGAAACGAGAAGAAGTATAATTACCAACTTTGAGCTCACGTCTCAGTAGCGCGATCTGGTGGACATTCAAAATATGTTAGTCCTCATTTATGACTTTTCATTTTGAATGTGAAGTTGATTGAAATTCAAGATGAACCTATTTTTTTAACAAAGTCACAGGAATATTGGCAAGTTGATTCTCCATCCTTTATTATTTCTTGTTTTTATGTAGAAGAATCTGATCTTTATGATCATTGTGCTGATTGATTAGACTGAATGAAGCGTAAGAAAAAGTCATTTTATGATGAAAAAGTCATTATATTATGATGATGAATGATTCATGAATAGATGGAGGTATACTGCAGGTTACGATATAAACCCTGACAGAAGGAATGAAATGATAAACTACACTTTATCAACATTATAAGATGTAAATTGAACTTGTAACAGTAACTGTCCAACTCCAATATCATCTAATATTCACAATTCAATTTAACAATGTTATGGTTTATTCATATTCAACTTCATGTTTGAATATTTAGATAAATAATATTATCTAATTTCCGATGGAACAACGCAAAATATGTCAATTACGATTTCTTCTGCATTGCATCCTCAAAAAATGCCATTGGGGTGTCAATTTTGAAATCAAAAGAGAATGATTGTAAACTGAGCAGCCACATTAGTGTGAAAGTTTTGTTAGGCAGGAACTGGACACTAACATGATTCCTTGTATGATATTTTTGTGTACCAACAGTACATACCTATATCTATTATTTCAACAGACTGATTTTTTTAAACAGTTTTGATGCAATTCTCGAGCTTTCGCACTGAAACAAATACGTGATTTGTGTATATTTTGTAATTATTTAGTCCTAAGTCTTGCTGGAAAGGAAGCCTCTGAGAATTGTATTGGATCTCATGTCGCTAATGACAATTTATTTGAGTATTATTTTATATTTACACCCTAGGTTTGTTTGTTTTTCGTGCAGAGAACAGCATAACTGTCACTCTAGTTATGAAAATACATGCCAGCGAAATATAGGGTCGTCCAAAAACACCGGAATGTTGTTCGTGAATAATATATTTTTTATTGATGGACCGATTCTATTGATTTTGGTCTTGTTTAAAAGAGATTTGAACAAGGCAAAACGTCTACTACATATTTATTGTTTTTTTTATAAAACAAAATGGCGAATTTAAAAACTTGCTGGAACTTTTTTGAGCCACACTGTATATTTTTGCGTCTGAGGGCGTGGACTTTTCTGAACAGAACAAGAGGTTGAACATGCAAATCCGTCAAACAATATCTGACATATGACAGGATAAAGACAGGTTTGTTTCCATATCTCAATTCCTATTTTCTTTTGTAATTTTGCAAAATCAAGTTGTGTTTAACAAAATATCGCTTGTCTTCGAAATTATTGACATTTGTTCATGTGTGTATCTTTTGGGACGGTTCAAATTAAAGATGGTGCTTTCTTATTATAAAATTTTTCACAAAATTTCAATTTTAAAAGGATAATTATACAGATTGAATGGGATTTCACAACAATTTCCTGCCATGTGACTATTTTTTGTGGGATGATTCGAAGGCAGGGATTCACAAAAATGGAAAACTTGGAGCTTGAAACGTTTGTTTTTGTTTATATTCATTTTAATAAAGTTTTTTTTCATGATTTTTGGGCAATTCTGGCAGACCAACAAACGCCAGAAAATCTGAATCCAGATGTGAAAACACTTGTTTTTATCCTGTCACTTGTCAGTTATTTTTTGACGGATTTGCATGTTGGGCCTCTCCTGTTCAGAAAGGTCCACGCTCTCAGAATTTCACACGCAAAAATATACAGTGCGACTCAAATTGGTTCCAGCAAGTTTCCACTTCAGCCAAGTTTCAGTATTTCCGCAATTTTTTCATGACTAATTCGAAGAATATAGAGTTGACGTTTTGTCTTGTTTAATTCTCTTTTAAACAAGATCCAATCAATAAAAAAAGCAATTCTTCAAAAACAAAATTCCGTTTTTTTTAACTACCCTATAGCAATGACAAATACAAGTTTTGAACAAATTTGAATATTGTACTTGGTGATCATTGTCTTTGCAACGGCAATTTATCCGTTTTAGTCTGAGGTTTTGCTGTCTCCTGATTTTTAGTGATCGATTTTTGTTGGCTCATTTAAGTCTTGTTTACTTGTTTTAACCAAAGATTGTTACTTGTGTAATATTTATGTAAATATACTTACCATTAGACAGTTTGAAAAGCACGGAGTGGACCATATCCGATTCGTCCATCGATGCTTTTCTGTATCACAAGGTAAATGCTTCCTGTTACATACAGTATATTGATAAGTACAAATGTTTGACGAGAATGATAACAATAGACGCTCTGTCATTCGCATTTCAAAAATAATTCGATAAAGTAAGGTCGAAAATCACTGAAAACTGAAGGTAATGAAAAAACATCACAAGCATAAAACTCCAGGACTAATATAAAGTGGATCTCAGAAATATTTTCTCCACGTCAATTCGCCACCAAAAAGTCCCGATCTGAATCCAGCAGTAAGATTTGGGAGAAATACTTCAGTGATAACAAATGAACATCTAATTATTGAGCTGCATTTTGACAATAAATTCGACTTTATTTTTAATCATGCAGATTTATTTTCACTGCATTAAAAAAATATTTCTGAGCCATCCATAGAATTACTTTATAAAAGTCATGTTTAGGACTAGGAATTAATGACACTTCTAGTAATATTCAATGAAGTTAATTTCGAAATTTCCCGCTTAAATTGTTTTACTATTTGAATATGAATACTATCATTCAATATAATATCAATATGCTTTATGATGAGACGACTTGAATGTCTTTTGCTGAAAAAATGAAGTAGCTCACTCTAAACTTTTTTAGTTCAGATATACAAATGAATTTAGTTGGATACTTACAAGGAACAAGAATTTAGTTTCACCGTGTTCATTATATTCGTCAGTTTAATTTTGCTATAGATTCCACTTTTTTCAAATTGAAATATAAAACTTTGTGTGTAAAAATGGAAAACATACAGAATGTCTCATTCAACATATCCCTGAAAAATCATATGAATATTTTCGAGAATAGGGAAGTCAGGAGCATGCTACTTTTCTGATATCTCATATAAGTACAAGAACTCCACCAAAGACGAATGCTTGTGATGATATTTTTTTGTTGAAGAAACTTATCTTTATTGAACTAAAATAGCTACCTCTAACGCCGATGACAGTCAATAATTGAGTTGAGTTGTCTGGACTTTTGTGCAGTTCAACATTCACCCAATATGTGACAATTATTATGGGTCCGTCTTGAAGTTTTACGCGTTTAATTTGATGTTGGCTGAATGTTAGAATCTGCCTGATAGTTTATCCGATTAAAAAGTTACAAAGTACATTTATAATCAAATTGGAAATGCATTAATCATAATATGCAATATAAACGTTTAGCTAACTAATCAAAATTTGAGTGTATTTGAGAATCGAGGCAATATAAAAAAGTATTTTTGCCATCCAGCGCAAAAATTTGGTGAAATGAATAAAATGGAGAGAATCTATAGAAAAAGGGTTTGCTGCATGTTATTCATATGGCCTATCGTTTATTGTTTCTTTTGTTATTTTATTATTACTGTCTGTGATTTTATAATTTTAGCAAGTTTAGTTACAGTCCAGTGCCACGAAGTTTATTTTTCCCTAACTGATTAAAGTAAGAAATGTAAATATTTGGCAAGACATTCCATTAAGATAATTTTATATTGGATTCATTGTTGTGTTGTGTTTAGTGTATATTACTTAGGAAAGTGTACATATTGCCAAAAAAAACAATTAGTTCATTATTTGTTGAATAAAACATTTCTCAGTCTGTCAGTGTATTGATAATTTATGATTATTTTTATGATAATTAAAAAAAAATATTTGTAATTCAGCTACTGATGTATTTCTTTCCTTTCCTCAGAAAAATATAAGTTACCTAGTCCTGGTAACCTATAACCTAAGATATGGTACTAGATCTGATGGTTGGTAGCTTCACTCAAGATATGTTACTAGTTACTATACCTTTTCAACTTCAATTTCGGAATCGGTAAGTTATATTTCGGAAAAAGTAATCTCGATTTCAGAATTGGTTAGTTCGATTTCAGAAATGGTAAACTCAATTTCAGAATCGGTGAGATGAATTTCAGAAAAAGTCCATTCAATTTCAGAAATGGTAAGTTGTATTTCAGAATTGGTAGGTTCAATTTCAGAAGATGAATCCTTATATATGTTTGAAATGTTTTCAATTGCAAAAGAGAAAATTGTTTACAGTGGATGGAACGGTGTTCTGGATAATGCACCTGCACATTCAAGAATACAAGAGATATGCATGGGGGTAGAATTTCAAGATGTTATATCTTTTAGATTGGCACCTTACAGCCCTATGTTGAACCCGATTGAACATATATGGAGTGCCTTTAAGTCAGAAGTGAAGAGCTTTTTGCAAGAGCATCGCCAAAGGGTCATAGCTGGAGATCCGAACAGATTGCTCAACCAGATAGAATTCAGACTGCGATGTCTTGAAGAATGTGCAAAACATTCAATGCGAATGATAACACCTCAAATGTGTTGGCATTCTTATAATCATGTGCAACGCCACTATCCTTCTGCAAATCGGATGGAAGACATGTCTGTGGATTAAGTTGAGATTATAATTATGTTATTTAATTGATTTTGAAAAGTTGAATATTGTAAATATGGTTTGTTAATCTCACATGCAATTGGAAACATTTCAAAGAAATATAAGGATTCATTTTCTGAAATTCAACCTACCAATTCTGAAATACAACTAACCATTTCTGAAATTGAATGGACTTTTTCTGAAATTCATCTCACCGATTCTGAAATTGAGTTTACCATTTCTGAAATGGAACTAACCAATTCTGAAATCGAGATTACTTTTTCCGAAATATAACTTACCGATTCCGAAATTGAAGTTGAAAAGGTATAGATATGGTAACCTACTAACATACTTTAGGAGGGGAGCAATTGGTAAAAACCTATTAGAAAACTTCCTAGGAAACCTCTCACTAATTACATACTCTAGGAGGGGAGCAATTGGGAAAATTCTATTAAGAACCTCAAAAAATCAAAACCAATTCTTCACGTAGATTTTCTCACAGAATAGATTGATATAAGAAGAATAACATGGCTATTAAAAATCATTAAATACTGAACAAGTCAAGAACCCTCTATATCAGAGATTAGCCTATGTAAATAACAGGATATCCTGTATAATATTACAGGGTGTATTGAAACATTGATTTTCAAAATCGATGGATGAATGATGAGAATATAAAGTTGATATTAATTATCAGTGTATGTCAATATGTCATGCGATATTCACTTGAGTATATCTGACTAGTCCGATGGACTTTTTTTATATTTCATAATCCCATGATCTCTACAAAAAGTTCCCAGTGATGAATAAAGTATTTGTATACCTACCGCGGGGACCTATCAAATTATGGGTGGGCACCGGCGATATCTGCATAATTGTTGATCTTACTGATTCCGCAAAAATATTCATGACCTAGAATCTTCAAAATGATTTCCAAAAGTTTCTCTTGGTAAATAACTTTCATGACCATGATGTTTACCATATTACGATCAAGATTCAGATAGGTACATAATATCTATATATCGCCGGTGTCTAACACCCTCGCTGATGGTATCATCTAGCTATACATATTTTATTTTCGTATACCTTTTTATGCCTATCGAAAAAGGATTCTTCCGTCGAGTATTATAACACGAATGACGGTGAAGCGAATACAAGCAAGCAAGCCCCTTCTCATTCTTGTTTTATGTCCTCAGGAGAAAAGTCGAGGCCGCGAACAAACGAGCGAAGCAAAGAAAGAGGCAGTAGTGCATAACGAGCTACCTGTAGTAGTTGTTGTTCGAGTGTCTCGTGAGATCATCGACAGGTTATGCAAGCGACGACGAGGAAATTTCAGTGAGATCAATATGGGATCGCTTTTCGAATTAGCGAAAATATTAGTGCTGTTAGTGCAGTGCCTCGTCATCAATGGGCCTTCTTCCTGCGAGGGTCACGTCTCTCTGGTGTTTCCTGCTGCTAGAAAATACGACTTGGATTTTCTCGATAACTCCAGGACTAAAGCTCCTTGTGGAATGCCTAAAGGTATGCGCATAGATACAACCTAACATCGTCATAATATCAGTATCGATGAACTTTTCTTTCCACTAACTTTATGTCTCCACTCCTATTTTTCTCATTTGTGAGAGTTCTCAACATATTACAGCTGCGAAAGGAAAGCTATATATCCACGACTATATAATTATTATAAAATGCTTAAGCCTATAATACTTATTTAATGACATGCGGAGAGTGGTATAGAGATAAAAATAATATTAACCAATAACTAAATGGAAAAGGGTATATACAGGGTGTTAGTATGTTTTTTGTCGCCGCGAAAAGCGAACGAAAAGTCGTTTATTTTCTGATTGTTTCGCTAATCGCTTTGATAACGACGACTCGCTGCGTTGGTTGTTATGGAATGCCATCAAACATCTAACCGGCCTTGAATGCCTACCATGAATCATTTGAATAATAATAAGAAAACCTCATAGGAATGGGCATCATGATTATTATAACCATGCATTACGTTCGTTGTAGGTATGAAATATTATTATGTATATAAGTACCTACTCGAACATTTTTTGTTTTGTGTGTATCGGTCCAATATATTATTAAAATCAATAATGATCAATATATGTGTGTATTAGAATGTTAGAAATCAAAATATAATTATTGTTCCTTACAGATATAGGTGTGATCATTATTATATTTGTATATAACAGCACATATATAGCAATAATTGAATCGCCTATCATCCTTAAGATGTCGCTAATAGCCTCCAATAAGCGGATGTCCTATTTCCTGAAATAGAAGACTTGAGGACAGCGTGGGTGCATTTCTATATCATCCCCAAAATATCACCAAAAGCTTCAACAACACTATAGGTACTCAAGAAAAAATATCCTTGATTAATAACGAGGGGGAAACAACAAATATCTGGCAATCAAAAAGTACTCAAAATAAGACTTAACAGCTCATTAAATAATCAAATATCTACTTGATGTATTAAAAATGATACTTAAAGTACTTAAAATTCCATGGTGTACACCTATTTAAAGAGTTGTTTCCCCCTCGATCAATGTCATGTGAAAATCGATTTCCTCAAAGGGTCTGTGAAACGTCTTCAGGTCGACCCTGATGGGTTCTGAGAGGTTATGGTTTAAACGTAATTTTGCATGTGGAAAATGAAAACAAGTGGACGTCCTGGGTCCTAGAGACGTCTTGCAGATATCCTTCTCGACATCACAACTGAATCATTCACAACTTCCTCAGAAAGTTGCTGAGACGTTAGGTATAATATCCCTATTTATTCAGGCCAGGCAGCCGCGTGGTTGAAGCGTTAGTATTCTATCGCGTTGGCTAGCCGATCGTGGGTTCAAATAACCGATTGCAGAAATTTTTCTGATGGCCTAAAAGAAAGTGTTTAGGATAACACGTTAAAAGGCATATAAGGCCCCCGTCATTCCTTGCTCGCACAAGTATCTTTAAGACTTCTGATGAAGATTGCTCGTAAGGGGGCAACGGAATGACGGATAAGAACAATTTTAGAACAACAACAATTTATTCAACGTACTCTGATTCATCATAAACAGTTAATTATTTGTGAACTTTGCTGGATGAGCATATTATATGTTCAGTATAAAATTTTCAAATGAATCAAATTTCTGTTCTTTGCATCCGCCGCTTATCTACAGGAAAAATCACGTGAAATTGTATAGCGTAATCTCTTGAAGTGGCACACATTACTGATTTCATCAAATACCTACCACAGTTCTAAATCAAAAGCAAATAGAAATTAAGATTCAAACATCAGCAGCAGCAGAATTTCTAAAGTTGCGTCACTCACCGATAGGTACATTCTTTCATGTCCAGCTAACATTGTATTCGCAACATCCCGGTGTCTTCAATAGGTATGAACACAAGAACAAATTAACCTCCAAAATAAAAAAGCGCGAGTGAAGTATAGTATAATTTTGTAGGAGTAGAAAGATTGACCTCATAATTATTATCAATTTTATGTATAGGCATTGGTCCTTGCCTACATTATAGTGTGTTATAAGTTCATAAATTTACAGATGTACCCACCTGTGGTACCTACCAGTAGATCTCATTATTGTCACGAGTCACGACCCGCACCTATGAATTGATTTCTTTCACAACAAACCGCATTCTACACATTTTTTATTTTAAATTATCTATCATTCTTATGTAATCTGATTGAAACTATACAGGATGTTCCAGAATATGTGGGCAATCTACAGGATTCAGATAGAATTCATAAAATAGCAGGACAAGTTCCTATATTTTATCTTGTTATCTCAATAATATTCTTGCGCTCCAAGAAGTTCTATTTTTTCAAAATTCTGTGACGATATTCTGAGCCGAGTTCTGAGCTTATACAATTATGTTTCCAAGTATTAAAATTTTCATTAGCCGCGTACCACAATATAACAGGTTTCAGGGTCATTTTTCACTTTATTTCTACTTTTATTTTATTTCCACAAAAGGACACTTCTCAAAAATGCAAACATTTTATTTTCACGATCAGTATAAGGGCTTTTGCTATACAGGGTGATCCACGGTGGGTGGCCTATTAGAAGTATCTGAAGAACAAAAAGACAGAACATTCTGAAAGATGGGATGCTTCGATAATTGAACATTTTCTATCCGTCTAAAATATTTTCATTGATACAGTGTTGCCACTCCTATCAGAAACAACTAGCAACTTCGTTATTTTAAATAGAGCACCCTGTATTTTATTGCATTTTTAGATTTTTTCCTGTAGAGCTGATTTCATCAATGTATCACACTTGTGGTTTAGCAGGAATGATTACAGATTATAGGGTGTTCAAAATCGCGATTTTTCAATTTCAGGAGTTTTTTGTGTCTAAACTATTCATTATTGATCAAAACGGCTTACATGTCCCTATATTAACTTTCGATTCACTATCTACTGACATTTAATTGGAACTGATACAGGGTGATTAGAATTCTGAATCTTGAAGCACCCTGTATTTTTTCCAATAAATTTCCAGTAGATAGTGAATCAAAAGTTAAGATAGGGACATGTAAGCCGTTTTGATCAATAATGAATAGTTTCGACACAAAAAAATCCTAAATTTGAAAAATCTCGATTTTGAACACCCTATATCTCTGTAATCATTCCTGCTAGACCCCAAGTGTGAAGCATTGATGAAATCAGCTCTTCAGAAAGAATCTAAAAATGCAATAAAATACAGGGTGTTCCATTTGAAATAACAAAGTTGCTAGTTGTTTCTGATAGAAGTGGCAACACTGTATCGATGAAAATATTTTGGACGGATAGAGAATGATCAATTATCGGAGCATACAAATTTTCAGAATGTTCTGTTTTTTCGTTCTCCAGATACTTCTAATAGGCCATCCACCGTGGATCAGCCTGTATTGATACTAAAATATACTAGAAACTTTCTAATAGCAGTAGCAATGCCAGTCAGACGAACAATATAGACAAGCTCAGTCAGCACATTTTTATTTTCGTCAACCATGAGATGTATCGAACAATTCTCTACCAAAACTCGTTTGGTAATGATTAAAAATTGTCTACTTAGCTGTACTCGATTTTAAACGTTCCTATTTTTGGAACATAACCTTGATATTGTGCGAAATCTGAGTGTATTTTTACCATCATTGTTTTTCCGTATTCTGAAGTGATGTAAAGTAACATCAATTGATATTCTATATAGTGACACCTACATCTGCAAATGATCATGCTGTGATGGCTGATGTGGCAACTGTTAATTGTTAAGCAGAAGAGTTGAATTTAAAACATCTCATTTGATGAATGGTATTATGGCTAAGCAATTATAAATTTTTATGGTGAAATCCAGGCCATGTGAAATAAACGGCGTTGATTTCACTAAGTGGCTACCGAGGTGGGTACCTAATAATTTCAATCTTTTTTGAAGGCATAGTATATTCATATGTGTAGTATTTTTCTATAATAATCGAAAAAGTTGATTTTGAGTTTGGGTGTTAGTCGACTTAATATTTTTAATCACGTGTATTCTTCAAGGTTTTATTGTGAATAATGAGGTTGAAAACAAAACGTTCAATGATAATTACCTGTCTACCCAAGTTTGTAATGTGATTTGAAGTTTAATATAAGTAGATATACAGGGTGGGTCATAACTATTGGGGCATAGGCTGAGGTCGGATTGTTCAGACCAAAATATGGCGATAGGACCGAATATGCCTTAATAAAATATTGCTGTGGAAAAAGATACAGGGCGTTGAAGTTGAATATTTTTTCTTGTTGTTTTTTTGATGATAATTTCACTGTATATTCATCAATTGTTAACAAAATCGGTACGGAGACATAATTTCATACAGAAAATATTGTTTTATGTATTATTCTACAGTTTGTTATAAGGGGCACCACGTGAATGATTCCTGATGATGAATTCGACTGATAACTTTTTTTTAACGAAACTTTTTAGTGATTTTGATGAAAATATGACATAAACATCATTTCTTGGTACTCTGGTTTAAAACCGATATTTTCATCCGTTTTCGAGAAAAAACGCAATTGAACAGTTCAAAGTCTCGGAAGGGGATTTTGAATATTATTTAATTTATGAAGAGTGTGCTTTGGACTGTCAGATAATTGTTGCTGGTGAATTACATTTCTTGTCAGTGAAAGAATTTTGGTGCGAGTTTATAGTCAATTCTTTCTCAATTGAAACGCCTTGTATCTTTTTTCAGCAATACGCTCCAAACAATGCGCCCTTAGCCACTGCCCTAATAGTTATATTTCACCCTGTATGAATAAGCCATACATAGAAAGTGGTTGGCTTTCCTGTTCCATTTGAATAGGTACCAATACAAGTACCGATATGCCCTCGGAACGATTTGCTAAAAAAATTGAATAATTGAAACATGAAATTAGAAGCTGATTTGCTTCGAAAGTTGGAAATAAATAGATACACTCGTATACATACTTTATTTATTCAGTTTCATATAGAATTTTTGCAAAGATCTAATTCGTAGGTAATGAAAGAATAATTGATCAAAAATGTGATTATTTCTGAATATCTACATATACCTGTCTCACAAACTAATATCATAATATAATATGGCATTACAGAGGGTGTTCAGTTCACTATTGAAGCCAATGTAAGAATAACGGTGATAATTAATTCAAAAAATATATAAGTGTACTTTTGCCGTTACTATATTACGTGAAGTTACGCCTAATGAATAATAATTATATTATTACCGTCTATACAAGTTAATTACCTACCAGGTGACCACTGCTGAAAAAATAATGGTTAATTGTTTTTAAACTTACTAGGTATGAAGAATATTAATGAAAATATTAATAGTATATAGGTACTTCGCGAATATTAATCAGTACTGTTTGCTGTATGATCATTTTATTATCTTTAGCTTTCTCAACATTTGAAAATTATGTAGGTATACTTCAATATTTCAACATTTTCACATTTGTTTATTAGGTGACATACGGACTACATTTCTAGAGGGCAGTCGCTTCAATGTAACTTGGCATCTGGGATATCCACATAAGGTAAAACCGAGCCCAATTTCAGTTTGCATTATTTCACTCATATAGACTCCAACTCGGACTACATTAATTCAACATTTATTATATTCTAGGGAGGTTTCAAGATACAACTGTTGGATCATTTAGAACGACCAGTGTTGGATTTGACCCCGTCCATTCAAGGTTCAGAATTCATTTCCAATGATGCTACGTGAGTTTACCATTTTCACCTTCAGTATTCTCATTGATCTGAATTCTGAATAACTATTTTTAGTGCCCAGTCTTTCCAAGTACAACTACCTTCTGCATTTACTTGCGAAAATTGCACTTTGAGATTGCTAAGACAAGCATTGGAATGGGGAAACAACTACAAGTTTTGGTCGTGTGCTGATGTCGATATTAAAACCAGTAAGTCATCAATTATTTTTAAACACAAAACATTTCGAAGCCAATGTCTTGGCCTACTGCGATCATAAAAACTTCAGCAACATTAAAGAAAACGGATTAGCCACAAATATTCCTACATCAATTTTCAAAACAATATCTGGAATAACTTGAATACAAATGAAGATATTGAATAGGGATTTGCGCCAAAATGTACCTATTTTCATGCTCTTCCAGATCAATGATGCAAATGAATGAAACAATCCATTCGAATATTTCGAGAAAATCTGAAAATATCGAATAGTCGGTAAACGACGCTCTCTATATAAGACGCAGTATGAAATAGCGACCGTTGTAGGAGTTTTCAAATGTGTGAAATTATCTTTCAAATGAGTCCAAGTTGATTGAATTTAGATGAGGTCTATGGGAGATACAAAGATTTGAAAAATATATTGTTCACAAGCTTCCCCACCATTTTTATTGAAGATACGAAAAAAGTCTAGAGACCAGAACAACAATGAGTTCATGTATTTACACCATTTCTGTATTTTTTTGTCGTGATTGATGTTATTTGGTTCGATTGCCATTCAAAATATGACGATATCAGCGCTTCATTTTTTTAACACGTTTTTGGCTTTTGGCCTCATCAATTCTAAATTGATTCTTGGTTTTTAAGTGCGCTCTCTCAAGGGTACGAGACCCTTTTTCCTGTTTTACAACCAAAATGGTTATTAAGAGCACCTTGTCTGCTCGTCAAGTTTCCCTTCTGGGACTTGACATTTGATTTTACAAGTGCGCGTTCTTAGGGCACGGGGCCCTTCATTTCAAATGAAAACCCGTTTATTCCCTTAAAAACTCATTTATTATTATTATCATTCTCGATATTATGATGAAAGACATCGGCAACCATTTTAAAAAACCTATAATGTTCACCTCCATTAACTTCTAAAATACGGCTGAAGATGGGTCGTATATGCTGGGAGACCTCTCGATCACTGCGACGTAGAAGATCTATTGTGATTACCCCTATCTAGTTTTGGTCCTCTAACCCTAGACTTCTGATGAAGCCTACGATTTTCCTGACGGTTGACTTTTCCACTTCATCAGGGGTGAGATAGACCTGTTCTAGGTGGTTCAGCCTTTGGCGGACTGATACTTCACATGAGCAAAGTATGTGTTCCGCGGTTTCGATCGCATTGTTACAAAAGCGGCAAGTGTCAGTCTCCGCCAGACCCATCTTTTTGAGGTGGTACCTCAGAGGGCCGTGTCCTGTGAGAAAGCTTGTGATAAGCTTCAGCTCTGGTTTGCTGAGGCTGACTAGCTCTTTGGCTCGGTTCTGCGAATGGTTGATGAACCTTTTCGCTTGTCGTTGACCTGGAGTTGCTCTCCAGTAGGAGGACTTTTCAATTTCTTCCCATTTTCCGAGTTCTCCTTTTAGGTGACATTTGCTTATCCCACAAAAAGGCTCAGGACCAAAAAGTAACATGTGCCGTTGATTGACTACATCATTATTGAAGTTGTGAAGATGACTTTGAGCTTTCCTTCCTCCTTTTGAAAATTCCACTTTGAGCAAACATGGACTTCTACCAGAGATTAGAAATTGTATTCTACAAAGAAATATGATATGGTAATGTGTCTCATTGATTTGTTATTCTACATGGTTGCCGAAAAAATAGTGTACGTCCAAAAACAGTTTTTTTGGACTCGCAGACTTCCAGGACTCGCCTACGGCTCGGCCTAGAATTTTGTCAGGATTTTCCGACATAAATTACTATTTCAGGAAAGAAATTCAGGGAGACCTGTAACGGACACGGAAAGAATCTGGTGGGGCGATGCAAATGCGACAGACTGTATTACGGGGACGTGTGTCAATTCCGCAACGAGTGCGTCGAGGACAGCGATTGCGGCGAGCACGGAAAGTGCGTCGACGTCGGCGCCACGACGCCACCCCGGCACCAATGTTATTGCCAGCTGGGCTGGTTCGGACCTGGATGCATCAAAAGTGAGTTCTTTGATTACCAGTATATTCTTATTTCATCATATTCAAGATATGTCGTTAATCATTATTATAAATTCATAACTGAAATTGTTGAAGTCCATACAAAAAATCTTCTACTTTTCCAATAGGTTAGGTTGACGTGTTTTTACGCTATTGTTATCCACACCACCTAAAAAATTAATATACAGGGTCACTGTGAGTGAATTAAACCCTAATATGCATTATGCAAAAGTTGATTGTTTTTGAGATATTTGAGTTTTTCTGTTTATCTCCAAAAGGTAGATTCTAATGTTTCAAAAGTTGATTTCCCGAAAATCTGCTCTACATTTTTTCAACTTTTCAACTAGAATACATGATCAACATTATGGTCTCATGTATGGAATGAAGAAATTCCAGAAATAGTTTGGATCATAGATAAATTGTAAATACAAAGTCGTATTTTTGTTTGTGAATAAATAAACAGATGAACAGAAAAATGTAAATATCTCAAAAACTATTTAATTTTGCGGAGTGCATTACCACCTCCTCTATCACATCTCCAATGGAATGTATCGTTTTACCAATAACCGCCTGTATATATTGTTCAAGGAGCTCTCGATGATATAGTAATTTCCCACAAGAATTAAGTTATTGCAGTATGAGCCATAGGCGAATGCTGCAAATTAAACGTGTGGGAAATTAGCATTCCGTGCGACTTATACACTATACTTTTTCTACGGCGAAAATAACACGTCGCCCCACCTGACGGCAGCAACTTGAACACGTCTGAGCGGTTTGTTTTGATGATATGACCAATAAGAACAAACAAAAAATAAATGTGAACCAATGAAAACAAAGTAAACTTGCCGCTTTGATAGCTTTCAAGCACTTCGATAGGTAGCGTGTACGCTTATTTTCTTATATAACACCATCATATCAGATAACGGAATCAAATCGAATAAGAAAAACACGACGTTTTTCACAATTCTAAGGAAATATTCTTGAAATAACATGTTCAGGAATATCCAAAATACTTTCAAAAACTGGATCGTGAAACTTTTTTCATGAGCTTACCCTATATATCATTTTCGGAATTTATTCATTATACCGCGGGTGACCCGAAACCAATTTACCTCCCTGTACCTTCCTTGCTATTTTGTATAGATGTTTCTAATTTGGTGTATCGATTTGATTTAATGAATGTTCAATTTCTCTAGTATCAGAATCAGCCGAAATCTGACACTTCCTGTTTGAAGGGAGTGCATCCAATTTTTTTATTTCAAGTACAAAGTTAAATGTTTTTCTGGAACTGACGATTCAGTATAAAATTGCTTTTCCAACGATATAACACAATCTTACTTTCAATCCAGAATCAACTTATATAATTGAGATTTTATAAAAAATATTGTTATTTGTATTGTTCCCCTCGTAACGTGTAGGAAAATAATTATTAATATTGAATATTTTGTTGCCTCTGATTTCGTAGAACACTGAGAAAAATTGTTTTTTGTAATTCGCCAGATTTGAACGACAAAAAAATGTATGTACCGAAAAGGGGCTTGATTCCTGAAAAAATATCTCCCTGTAGATTCTCAAACAAGACTATAACACTTTCTGGATCGATAAGGAAGAATGTGCGGACACATGTCAAAGGAAAAGAAAAGTCTTATTTGACCTGAAAAATAAGCTTCTGAAATCTTGATACCGAATTTCAAAACATTTTTGTATGTTGAAGTCGTAGAAAAAGTATAGGACATAATTCGTACGGAATGCCAATTTCCCACTCATACAATGAGCAGAATTCGCCTACGGCTCGTGCTGCAAACTCCAAACTCGTGAAAGATGACCATCATTCCATGCTCGTTAAACGATTAATATGCTATTTTTTCCAGAGTCACCTGTACGAAATAGCGAAATCGACTTGGACTTATACAGCAAGAAAAAATTGAGCGACACCTTCCATCTCTATTGGAGGATCCTCAAAGAGCACAAAGAATTAGAGGCCGTGATGGTAGTGAACGGAACCAGCTATGCTGCCATCGGATGGAGGCCCCAATCCCTAACGAAAACCTGCAAAAACTTACCCCAAATAGGACCTCTTCAAAGTGAGAGCGATCCAACTTCTAAAAGCGAACCGGCCAGTGAACCAGAACCAAAAAGTGAACCACATCCGAAAAGCGAGCCAGAACCCACGAGTGCACCAGAACCCACAAGCGAACCGGAACCAAAGAGCGAACACAACTCGAAGGCAAGGAGTATTGAATTTGAGCCAAAAAGTGAACCGGAACCGAAAAGTGAAGCAGAACCTACCAGTGAACCGGAACCAAAGAGTGAACCAGAACCTACTAGTGAACCGGAACCGAAAAGTGAACCAGAACCTACCAGTGAACCGGAACCAAAAAGTGAACCAGAACCTACTAGTGAACCGGAACCAGAGAGTGAACCAGAACCTACCAGTGAACCAGAACCGACTAGTGAACCGGAACCAACAAGTGAACCGGAACCAACAAGTGAACCAGAACCTGCGAGTGAGCCGGGTAAGTTTCACCTCGAGTTTCACCCATAACATTATGAATAATTGAAATTGAATTCGGACATGGAATTATTGCTCTGCAAGTGGAGACAAAATCAGATTGTTCAAAATACCGACCCGGCAGCGATTTTACTAAATATTGATTGATTGTCTTTATTACCCCAACTATTGCAGCACAAGACACGCCCCCTACTACGGCATTGCAAAATATAATCGAGCCCAGCACAATCCTGCAAAATCTAATCTTTGACAGCACAACGTAGCTGATTCATATAAATAAATCGATTGAAAAAGTAGCACATACCACGTTATATCTCATCTTCAAAGTACTTTACTTAGGCAAAACTCAGAGACTATTTATCCTCAACGAACTAACCTATCCCTGATTGCAATATTTTTGAGGAAGGAAAACCGAATGGAGTGTAGAAACACATTGATTAATAATATATTTCAAAAGTTGAGTTCTTCAACAAAATTGAATAAAATGAGACTGTTTATCCTAAACGCACTAACCTATTTGACTTCAAATATTTTATGAAAAAGGAAAACCAGAATGAAGTAAAAAACATTGGAGAAAAAAAAAAGTTGCAAAAAAAAGTTCGAGTTCACAGCGATTCGAACCATGAACCTTCAGGCTGAGAGTCGACAGCGCTAACCAGTAGACCATTTGGGTGTATGAATTTACTGCGTACAAGAGATTGACAACGAGAAAGCTTCAGTTCTTGCGTTGGAGCACAGTATGAGATATGACGTATTATGGTGGGCGTGTCTTGTGCTGCAATAGTTTATATTTAGTAGAATCGCGACCCGGCATAGAGTTCGTCCACGTAGGACACCTTATAATTTTACAGAAAAATCGCCTATACAATGATAGATGACAAGAAAGTATCTTTTTTGTGAAACGACTTGTTTCCATGAGATCTACACCCTGTTGTAGAAATGTCAAGTGTCGACCTACACTGTATAATATGTATAAAGCTGGTGTTTCATATTTTCTAAAGTTCTCAAATAAACAAGTGGACCACTGAAATATTTGACAAATTTTCAAACTGCCATATCTTTTTAGAAAATAAATGGATTTTCAATGGAAATGCAGTGCTTGGAAGATGCGATCTTTCTGTTCAAGATTCCTCGTTCAAAACTCGTCAGGAGTTTTTCTGTCATTATACATCAAGGGTTCGAAAAGAGTATTACAAAAAGGAAAAAATTCAAACGCTTCCGTATTCCAGGAAATTTTTTTCATTTTTCTATCAATCGTTCTTTCCGAACATTCAAGCCATTATCTCGAAACGGTTTTGTAATTTTTCATATTCGTCATTCAGAATCGATAATTTTTCATTTTTAGGTTGTCATCGCATCATTTCCGATTTTAAAATTATGCAAGCCACATTCAATGTATTTTGCCATTCTATACGACGGAACACATCCTAGAAAATGGATTCATATTGCGTTGAAATCATCGACTACTTCAACAAGAGAAAACATTTTTTTTTTGGTAAATTTTAAGAATTTGGTGAAATCGTCTGTTCCGTTTGGTGCTACTACCATAACCATATGCTATGCTAAACACAAATCATTCATTTGCGGATCGATTGCTCTGCTCAATATCTCGAATTGATTTCGTGATTTTTCAGATAAGGCAATCCAAGGGGGCGCAAAAAAGCCCTGCTGGATTTTTTTTGACCAATTCAACCAATAACGATGCTACAATGGTTTTTAGATATTCCTGAGCTGACATGAAGTCAAGAAACCTATTTATCACAAGGGTCTTCATCGCGTGATCGAAAATCAATCGAAAAGGTCGATTTCTTGTAATCAACACTTATTTACGCAATTAATACCACCGCAACACCCAATATAATGTCTCCTGTCGAACCTGATGAACATTGAATTATATCTATTGAACACACACGATAAGAGTTTGAAAATAAAATATAAAAAACTTTGATTTTCGATTACGCGTTGAAAAAACTTGTGATAAATAGGTTTCTTGACTTCATGTCAGCTACGGAATATCTTGAAACCATAGTAGCATCGTTATCGTATGAATTGGTCAGTAAAATGCAGAAGGGCCACCTTGCGCCCCCTTGAATTGCCTTATTTGAAAAATCACGAAATCAATTCGAGCTATTGAGCAGAGCAATCGATCCAAATGAAGGATTTGTGTTTAGCATGGCATATGGTTATAGCAGCACCAAACTGAACAGACGATTTCACCGAATTCTGAACATTTCTCCAAAAAAATTATTTTTTGTGCTGTTGAAGTTGTCGATGGTTCCAACGCAATATGAATCCATTTCCTAGGATGTGTTCCGTCGCATAGAGTGGTAAAATACGTTGAATGTGGCTTGCATAATTTTAAAATCGGAAATGATGCGATAAAAACCTGAATATGAAAAATTAACGATTTTGAACATCCTGTATGTTGACTATGGAAAATTTGGAGAAATTGGCTTGAACGTTCGGAAAAAAATATTGATACATTTTTGTAATACTTTTTTCGAACACTTGGTGTATAATGACAGAAAAACTACCGACGAGTTTTGAACGAGGAATCTTGAACAGAAAGATTGCATCTTCCAAGCACCGCATTCCAATTGAAAATCCATTCATTTTCCAAAAAGATATGGCAGTTTGAAAATTGTCAAATATTTCAGTGGTCCACTTGTTTCTTTGAGCACTTTATTTCATTGGGAAATAAAAGGGAATTGAATAGTATATTCTTTTTCCAACCAGAACCATCAAGCGAGCCAGAACCAACAAGCGAGCCAGAACCAACAAGCGAACCAGAACCATCAAGTGAACCGGAACCAACCAGCAAGCCAGAACCGACTACTACCCAGCCAAGTAAATACAGGAAGTCCCTCTATTCGAGACGGTCTGCATCTCAGATGCCCGCAGTTCATAATAATGTCGCTCCTAACGCTGATGTCGTTGAGACTAGTGTGTCTTTCAAAGTTAGCACGAAGCAAGGTAGGTGAACAAATTTATCAAGATCAAATTGGTATCACTGCTTAATTTTTTTTTATATATTCATGAAAAAATTTGTATTTCAGGTCGTACTAGAAGAGCTGCTCAAGGTATGTAACGATACAATAATTTGCATTATTCTGATTTTTCAAGATTGTTAATCATCATAATAATATACATATAGGTAGTCTGTTGATAGAAATATCTTTTTTCTCCGATTGGCAGCAAATATTAATTTTGCTGACACATAACAATCAGCAAAGTGTTACTTTTCCTGCCTAGGCAGCAAAGTGATTACTTTGCTGATTGATATGTATCAGCAAAATTAAAAATCCATAAATCGTTTATAATTTCCTTCATATCTCATCCGAGACTTCTCCGGCAATAAATACAACTCTATATTTTTTGCCACCTCCCTTATTAATGGAGGTGTAAATATACTTCCAGGTCGCTATCACTGTCCATTATATAATAATTTAAATATACCGATATTTTTACGCACAACTGTCAGAAATTTCATGAATTGTCAAACCAACAACTGCGATTTCTATCAAATTTTATTTTAATTGAACACTATACAGGAAGAATAAAGAGATTGTGGGAATTGTATTAATTCGCAAATACAATATTCTTCCATATCATTATGAACAATCGGAGAAAAAATTATATGTTCAACTCGGCAGCAAAGTAGATTGACTGCCTTAGCTGGATTCCTAGCCTCGCTACGCTCGGCTATGAATTCAGCCACGGCAGTCAATCTACTACTTTGCTGCCTAGTTAAACAAATAACTATTTCACCTATAGCACAAATAATGCAGACTTCTATTAATCAACAACTAACTGCCTTATACAAACTCTCATTGAAAAATTGATTGATTATTGTATAGACGATAGTTGAAGACTCGGGGTTGATTAGTTTACGGTTGAACTTTCAACATATTCTTACTGAAAGTTTCAACCCTAAAGTATTGAAGTATTTTGAAGTGTTCGGCTGTTTTTGCAGAATCTCTTCCAAAATCAGAGTCGGCACCGAAATCAGAACCAGAACCAAAATCAGAACCAGAACCAAAATCAGAACCAGAACCAACATCGGAACCGGAACCAAAATCAGAGCCGGAACCAAAATCAGAACCAGAGCCTACCTCTAAACCAGAACCTAAATCAGAACCTGAACCCGTTAGTAAATCTCGATCTAGATTAACAGGTAAGTGTATATCTTACCTACTAGAATTGTAATAAATATGTCTTATACATATAGTATTTATTTGTTCATCATCAAAATGCATTCATTGTACACCTATAATGCTGAATAAAACCATGGAAGTTGACTTCGAAGTTTCCGAAGCTATGTTTGAGATTTGGTACTTTGGTGCTTTTTTCAAAAAATGTAAATGAATAAGAATTGACCAGGTAGCCAAAAAAAAACGACTATATTCTACTTGAGAAACTGAAAAATCTGCAACCAACTCGCGAGTTTTCTTTCATGTCAATGTTATTTTCCTTGGAAATAGAAAGATCATTGTGTATTTGAAATTCAGCAGCAAATACGGAGAAGGAGCACCTCAATCCTTACACTCCTAGACACGATTTCAGCCCAATGGATTGTACCGATATGGTGATTGGATCGGCTAGAGGCACTTACAGTAGAATAGCTGATTACTACACCAGAGACAGGTCCACACCACGGATGGACTCTTTTTGGGGGGGAAAGAACGATCTCACCGCTGCCATGGGATTCGAAAAAGTAAGAAGCTATCTATGACTCTACACTGATTTTTATTACTAACCAAACTGAATTTTTAACGCCTCGACATTATTTGTAAAAAATTCACAAACCCGGTAAGACAATGAGACACATATTATATTGACAGTCGGATCTTCTATCTACAATATTTCAATGTGGCTGATTGAAAATATCAAAAATTAAATTATCCCTATGAAAATCATTCCGGTTCGAATTCTCTTGAAGGTGGAACCTTCAAATTTGAAGAAAGGTGACATGCATTCTTATAGCTTTCGATGTTTTATCACTTTTTTCCAGTGTACCCATAGCATACCTTTAAAATCACTCGAATAAACCAATCTTGACTGATATTATTGAAGAATTAGTCAACCTCACAAACATCTGCAAGAGCCAAAATATTTTTCAGTATAGCCAAGAATTTTTTAAACATGAAAGAACAGCTATGGCAAATTGTTCATCACCTTTCTTGGCTGACCTGTTCATGAATCGGTTTGAAGCAAATGAACGCCAAAGACAATTTGGATCAGATTGTTCGATGATATTTTTGCTATTTTTGATACAAAAACTACGGTATAGATAGCTTCATTTCAGAATTGCATAATTGCCCCCCCTCAATTAAATTCACATTTGAATGCGAAGATAACGGTCAATCTGTTGTTGTTTGATGATGTCTAAAGATAAAGGACCTATTCCATATAATTCCCTGCATCGTTTAGTGATTTATGATTAGGATTAATATGTGGACCCAACCATGACTGACATTGATTGCGCAGCTACCATATTTCACGGCATTTCACGGTTAGAAACATATACCTATAGGACCCGTGTCCAAGATGGTTGACTGAGGGAAAAGTTGCGCATTTTCAAGCTCAACAATATGCCGTTTAGAAAGTTTTGAAATTTCGAGTAGTTCCGGAGATATGCCTAAAAATCCTAAATTTGCCGACTTCGTTTTCATTTTTTTTATATTAATCAAAGAGATATAGGGAAACAAAAAACATTTCCACTTTTTGTGCTCTGCAAAACAGCGTTGAGAAATTTTCCGTACGACGTTTCGTTTCGGAGAAACCACTTCCGAGATCCTCATGATAGAAATCCTCATCGTGGACACACCGTATAGGATATCAAGTGCTGATCGTCTCCTGAAGATGCTAATATAGTCAGCGAAACACGGGTCGAGACGTTAAAAATCTACTTTACACCTCAACAGCTTCTCATGATCTACAAAGCACAGATACGGCCAGTTCAAGAATACTGTTCTCATGTATGGGGTTCAGCACTCGAACATACGCTGATGCTCTCAGATTCCATCCAGAGAAGAGCCATTCCCCTGGTTGTTGATGCCACACTCACCAACCACTCTTTGACCCCATTAGAACAGCGACCTTTTATATTTCTATAGATACTTCCACAGGAAATGTTCCCCAGAAATCTCTGCTATAATTCCATCACTAGCAATACCAGTCAGACGCATTTGATAGACCCTTCGTCGTTAACCTTGAAAAATGTCGAACAACACACTACCAAAACTCTTTCGTCTATGGAGTGGCGAAGCTTCGGAATTCTTTGTCAATGGAAGTATTCCCAAGAAAATTACAAAGAAAATGAAAGTGTTATCATAATGCCAAAGTGTCCTGTCTCCGATCTGAGCTACCTGTTTTTCACAATCGGTCGTTGACCAGCTGAATTTGAGTAAATATCAATTTAGTTTCTGAATATTTCAGGATGGCGTGACCACGATTTTGTTCAGAAAGAAATTGGAAGCTAAGGATTTCAGCGACCACACCATAGAACAAGAACTGATGCACGTTATATACGCGCAAGGTCAAGAACAAGGAAAATACGTACACGTACCGAAATCGGGCATCGAAACAGACCGAGCTTCGGTCAAAGATTTTTACAAGCCAGACGAGTTGAAGTACCACGGTCACAAAAATCAAAGAGGAGTGATTTCCATGAATTTTTTTGGTAAGTCAGGACAGATTCACTAATTTGGAACCGAACGATTCATTTATGTTCCATCTGAGCATCACTCAACCTAACTGTTGATACCTATATTTATATAGTTTTTTCTATTTGCTTCTTTGATAAATTCATAATGACACGCAAATGGGTATTGAAACTGCATTTGATAGATGCAAAAACTTCACAAACGATAAGATTTCCACAAAATTTTCAAACACACGACATGTTTCGCTAACACAGTAGCTTCTTCAGGTGATATACTGGTACAATGAACTAAACTAACGTTGGCTTGCTTAACTTTTATATATCTTACTTTCCCAACCTGAAGGATTAGTTACCTGTGGACAGGTACGATAAATCTCCATTCTCGGAAATTAGGCACAATATCTACATTAAAATACGATATACCGTATTAACTTGAAAGAGTTTATAGCAAATACATATTATTACTTACTATGAGAAAACAAATTCAACAGTGGTGAACTATTGAGGTCTAATTGATCATTAAGTAAAATGTCAAAATTTTTGAGTTTGTTGATTTCTAATGATTCAAAATGTTATGTATGTTGAATTTGTTTTCTTTTTCATAAAATTCATCTTATGTTCATGAATGCGCTGATTGAACGTACGACCTGTCTGACCGATATATACCTTAGGACAAGATCCACATTTGAGTTTGTATACCCCTGATTTTTCGAATTTAGAAGTTTTGTCTTTATTATTCTTGATAAACCGTGTTATTTGTTCTATATGCCACTTTTAAGTCCTGTTTATGTAGAAATGAAGCTAATTTCTCAGTAGATGATCCGAAATAGGTTAAAGTTCTATAATTTTGATTATTATTCTTGATGGTAGGATAAAGTTTTATAGAAAGAATACTGTCATCATCAAATTATGCATTTAATAGGGCACGCTGAAGTTTTCCTTTCAAAGTTGGTAATACAATAATTTTTGTACCATGTGTCAAATTAGAGAATGAACATTCAAATGTTTTTTCATTGTTACCAACTACTTACCTATTTCATAATAATATTATTTGTTATATTCGATGTTTTGATTGATTATTTTTAGAAAATAATATAATAATACAAATGAATGCAAAATAGAAAAATTTGTATATTACACAGTTATAGTTTTTTGGAACACTCCTCGCTTCGCTAGTCCTACTCCAAACAACGCGTGAGACTAAATAATATTTTCATTTTCTTGCTGTATACAGTGCGATATATTGTTTCTTCAGACAATAAAGTATTTTTTGACTTGATCATTATTTCAGAAGAGAAACACAAGGTAGAGGCTTCAGGTGTCGTGGCTACCAGTGATTCAACGGAAAATACGGATTGTGGAGGGATGTGGAAAGTTCCTAGGAATTGCAATCCGGACAACAACACGTGCGATTATTCTGCCAAATGGGAATTGATACCCAAAAAGGACACCATCAAATTCACGATCACTACTAAAAACACCGATACTTGGACTGGAATCGCATTTTCGAATGACGAAAGAATGGTATAGTGAAGGAACCATTATTATTTCAACGGCAACGTCAACATTGTTTTTGTTCTCCCTTCAACTAAAATGATGAGACAATGAATTGAATTATTTTCGCCCCGCTTTGTTTTCGAAAATTAATAAAATGAGATTTTGTAGACAGTGGTTCAAGAATCAAATACAAAAATATATAAAAAACGATGATGAGTCAAGTAATCTTCATTTTCTGTTCAGTTCGAATGAATATTATGATATTATTCTGTTTTTTTGGGTATATTTTTGTATTCGAGAATGATGATAAAAAAAAACTGTTCTGCCTGCCTATACCCCGTGACACAGAATAAAAGCGTTTCAAAATTTTCGAAGAAAATTTGTTGAAATGACCATCCTTTCTAAATATTATTAGAACCTTAAATGAACTTTGTCAAGTACCATTTCGATGAATAATATTGTGATCTACAACATACACAACACACACCAACTACCTAGTGTATTTATGAGTTGGGCAAAAAATATTTCTGTCCACTATACTATTTCTCCTGTAATGAAGAAAATTTGGTTCGTTGAATTCACTGTTCATTTGGAAACTACCACTAACAATTTTCCAGTTAGCCATGAAAGTCAACTTGTCACTGATATTATAGTGACATTTGACATTTGTCGAAATTATCAACATGGAAAATAAATTCCTTTTGTGTTAGGAAACAGGGATTCGAATCGGTTTCGAAACGTTAAGAAACTAACTCGTTGACATGGAATCTTCAATGAAATCTATATTTTTCGATTTGAATGGAAATTCCGTAAATTATAAGACAAGCAGTAAAACGACGCGGTGTATGTTTGGTTGCCTATACCATAATCGATCGTTAATAGACAAATTGTCGACGGAAAAATCTTATTTACATTCACTTTTTTCCCTATTATAAGCTTTTTTCGAATGAATAACATCGGAGTGGCCGTTGAAATATTTCGATTGTAACAGAATATCCTCAGGGGGAGTTTCGGGTCGCGAAATGAGTAGTTTCGGAAAGTATGGGGTTTTATTTTGCCAATCACCCACCAACGTGGCTAAATATAATGTATATGAAATCTGGAAGATGTACATAAGGCACCATTAAAATACATGAGAAATATAAAGAGTAACTACTTTACCTGGCACTAAGTCGGTGCAAAACAACACTTTATATAAAAGCAATATTCAACACGCTGTAACTAAGAGCTACCATCAATCACAAATGCTCACAAAATCAAAAAGTCGAGCTCGAACAAACGATATCAAGTGCGTTTTTTGCCTTAGCGCCACAAAAACAAGGGACGATCTATTTAAAGTTTTCCAAATGAACATTCTTCCTCCATCTATTGGATTACCACGAAAGCAATAGCCAATCATAGGTAGGTAACTGGCACAAACACTGATTCCTCAGAAAATGCGATGCTTATACAGGGCGTTCTGCTTCACGATTCATTTACCGCTCCCTACTGAAAAATGATGAATCGTCAGATTGGGAATTAGTTAGACCTCTCAAGTGCTTAGCGGTAAACCAAAAAAAAACTTTGTTAACGACGACTAGGATGTTCCAATCGTCAATAAAACCTTATTGTTGGATTTACGACCCCTATTTTTTTTGTCGCCAGTCACAAACCGACGCAATCATAGGATGGGTGGACAAAACGGGCCGCCCATTCTTAATGGACACTTGGATATCCGGATACACCCAACCATTATTGGACAGCTCGCAGAACATTTTCAACATATCCGGCCGGATAGTGGACGGGGTGACCACCCTGTCCTTCGCCAGGTATGAATATTTATAATAGTCCCCCACAGAATAAAAATCTATCAATCCCATCACAAAATTCAAGAGTGAACTGAAGGTCTAAAGAGAAAAAAGTTTGACATTTCATCTCTGTGGACAGGTTTGAAAATGTCACTTTTCATAAATTACTTTTTTCCCACGGAAAAAAAATTGGTATTTTTTCCCGGATATACAGGGTGTTATTGAAGAACTGCGACATTCAGGGGGTGATTCCTTGTGATATTTTAGGAGATAAAGTTCATCAAAACATGTGCAGTCCCAACTGGCTCCGTTTTTGATATACAGGATTATTTATAACGCCCTGTATACGCTTTCATGGTGCCAAATTTAAGTATGGTTGGAGACTGAAGAAGTTCCAAAATTTTGAGTCAAATCGAATTTTTATTGTTTCCTCAAATACTAAGCAAGACACAATAGGAACACAGGGGATATGAAAGTTGATATTTCAATTGTTCAATCTAATGAAAATATGGAAGTCAGAAAAACCAGTGGCGTACAATGATATTAACCGTATATATCGATAAATTAACCCACTGTGACGCCATTGAAAATATTATTTTGAATTCAATCTTATCAAAAGAAGCTCCATGTAACATTGAACGGAATACAAGTTTCATTGAAGTTGGTAAAAATACATTGGAGTAATGATCAAAACAACGATTTTTCATGGAAATATTATTACCCTGTATCTCGAAAACGAAGCAAGTTAGGACACAATCATATTTGTATAAATTTTATTTTCTGAACTATCACAAGAAATCACCCCGGAAAGTTTGTCACACCTTTTCACTGACACCCTGTATACAGGGTGAGCCAGAATACGACCAATAAACTTCGTATGCGGATTCCTAACCTCATCTTGAGGTGAAAAGTTCCTATCAACGTATGTCCTAAAATACATTCCATCTGAAATACAGGGTGTCAAAAGTACAAAAAAAAATTATATTTATATTCATTTCTTCCGAACCCCTATAGGAAGAAAATTCAAAGTTGGTATACTATTCCAGATTAATCAAGGTAATTACTTGGAGTTTTCCCACTTGTATGATTTTTTTTATCGCTAGGAGCGCACGAAAGGAAGCAGCATGAGCCGTCTATTATCAATTATTCAGCTCTCTTCTTTGTATTGATTAATGGGGTTGTACACACTAGTTGAATTTACCTATTTTATATTGATTAATTACCTTAGGGAATTCAATATGATCAATGACAACAGTATTCACATTCACAGAACACAATAGTTCCATATGATCCCTAAAAATCACTAATTGCATACTTATACAGGGTGTCCCTAGACCAGTGGGACAGTTAAATATCTTCTGAACCAATAGGAATTTTCAAAATATTATAATTTCACATCATATCGCATTATGAGTGCTAACTTCAGGCATGACTATATTTTATACGAGGGGCGCAAGAAAGGCTTAGAATATCGAACATCATTTTTTTCAAATGGAACACCCTGTATTTCATTGCATTTTCATATTCTTCTTGAAGAGCAGAATTCAACGACCTAGCACACTTGGGGTCTAGCGGGAATGAATTCCGAGATATAGTGTGTGGAAAATCGAGATTTTTCATTTTTGGGAATTTTTTGTGTCAAAACTATTCATTATTGGTCAAAACGGCTTACATGTCTATATCTTAACTTTTGATTTACTATTTACTCGTATTTAATTGAAACAAACACAGGGTGGTGTAGAATTCTGACTGAAACTGAGAATTCTACACCACCCTGTATTTGTTTCAATTAAATACGAGTAAATAGTAAATCAAAAGTTAAGACATGAACATGTAAGCCGTTTTGACCAATAGTGAATAGTTTTGACTAAAAAAATTCCCAAAAATGAAAAATCTCGATTTTCCACACCCTATTTCTCGGAAATCATTCCCACTAGACCCCAAGTGTGCTAGGTCGTTGAATTCAGCTCTTAAAGGAGAATATGAAAATGCAATGAAATACAGGGTGTTGCATTTGAAAAAATTGATTTTCGATTTTGTGAGCCTTAATTGCGCACCTCGTATAAAATATAGTCATTCCTGAAGTTAGCCCTCATAATGCGATATGATGTGAAATTATAATATTTTGAGAATTCTTATTGGTTCAGGAGATATTCAACTGTCCCACTGGTCTAGGGACACCCTGTATATATCTTGGAAGATGCTGCAGTGAAAATAAGAATATAATCATAATATTCCTGATGATGATAATGAACAAGATCCTTATTTGAACTCAAACTTTTGTTTCAGTTTTATGTTGTGTTCTCTGTTATCTGAATTAATTCATTCCACAAAATTCATTTTTCATTTTGATGAAAATGGCAATCAAAAATACTCTTGCACTTGTCTTACAGAAATAATGTATAGATACGTAAGTCGAATCTTATTTGCTTGCATTGGATTGTTGACGGATGATTTCTTCACGCGTATTTTTGTGTCCCTCCATAAACATGTATGTTTCTTGGGAATAACGAATACCATTATCATTAATCAGGAAGAGGATAACAGACGACCCGCGAGATTTGTCCTTCGCCGACGACCGGTGTCTGTTCGTCATGTTCCCCACCAAGGGGGGCGCCTTCAATAGCGTCAACAAGAAGATCAGGAAGCACGAGACGGTGCCCACCGTGTCCACGGAGAGGATATGCATCAGGTCGTGCGGCGGAAATGGTACGTCATTTTTGTCAGGATATTGCCGGGATGTTGAATTGTAGAAAATTTGTTTTTCCTTAAAATAAATCGCCTAAATAAAAGCTGCGAAATAATGAAGAGATTGATAGAGTTAAACATTGTCAAAAGCATTCAAATTTGGTTTTCCAAATTAATAGTAATCACCACAACCATACAACTAGACAAGCAGATCATTTTTCTGTCAAGAAAATTAAATCTGATATTGGTGAAAAATCCATCTATCACAATGGCATGATACAATACAATTCACTACCAAATTACTTGATGCTGATTAATAGGATTGAAAAATTCAAAATAGAATTCAAGGAACATCTACTCCTGTAATATTGACATCTTTTCTCATTTTCATAGTTTTCTTGTACAACTATTATAGTTTTCTATTGGGTACCTAACAGCTGAGTCAATTGAGAATCATTTTCAGTTGAACTTGAAAAAAAAAAAGATTCTCCTTGGGAATAATAAAGTTGATTGATTGATTATTAAGCCGCTACTTAGATGATACAATGGTAGGCAGACACGGAGAATAGATATTCACATACCAGTTAGGAAACGCGTCATTTTGTGTAACGATGGGACGAAGCACTTCGAGACGGGAATCGATCCAATCAAATCGCGTCAGCGATGTATCAAAAATGTTAATAAATCGGTTGTTTGATGAGGTTAACGATAAGTTACGTAGGAAAGGATAAAATACATTTTTTAATTTCTTGAAGCGCACGAAAGAGAATTCCTATAATTTTCGTGGAACATCGTGCGTACACTCGTCAGTTAACATGTCGCGGTTGGACGGTATGAACGCACTTATTGCAGCGGTGATTAAGAAAGCTGACACCGTCCATGTGCGACATGATCTCTGAAGACTACTGTACCTAGGGAGGATGGGTTGCGTGCAAGATCTGTCAGATGACCGATCCTGGAGGTGAAACATTTAAACACAACCTCACTTTTTTTATTTCTTTACAGACTACATAGTATTGAAATAGTTTTTTACAATTATTTTGGAATACAAGTCGTGTTTTTCGGCTATTCATTAATTTAGGCATTCCATCACATTGTGCTGTTGTCCTGTTGTAAAATGCACAGAAAATGCAGCGAGAGACGAAGGAATTCGATTTTTCAGGTAGATACAATTGTGATTTAAAAGTATACTCACATATAGTTTTTTAATTTCTCATTGGAATTCCTTCTGCAATAGGAGCTAATAGAAATAATAATACTCGTGAAGTTTCTGAAGGAAGACAAGAAGATTGGATTTATGCAATTAAACCAAACAGGAGGACTGGTCACTGGTCTGACATGCTGACGAAATATGATCCTGTGACTTGTAGACAATTTCACTCTATTAGCAGCAGTATTAGCTTCTAATGCAGAAGTGGCAGAAATAATTTTAATGAGAAATGACAAAATTTCATAATGAAAACAATGCGAGATCACTATTTACCTGAAAAATCATTCCTTCGTCTCTTGCTGCATTTTGGTGCATTGTACAACAGCACAATGTGATGGCATGCTTGATTTAATGAATAGTCCAAAAAACACGATTTGTATGCCAAAATATTGTGAAAAACTATCTCAATCCATTGATTCTTTTGTAAACAAAATAAGAAAAATGAGGTTGTGTTTCATTGTTTTACCTCCAGGGTCGGTCATCGTGCAAGGAGGTAGGTGTTGGATTTTGTTTTTTGACTTTTTGAGGTTATCAGTTCTTGGGAATCCTTCCAATGGCAAAGAATTCCAAAGTTTCGCCATTCTATAGACGAACAGTTTTTGTAGAGTGTTGTTTGACATCTTTCAAGGTGTAGAGTAGGGCGTTTATATGAAGTGCAGACTATTAATTACTTCCCCATTAATTTATTTTTGGCCATTTAGAAATATTTTGTTTTCGATTACTTCAGATGACAGTTTGGACGATTCTATGACGACTACGGAATCGCCAGCAATCGGTTACAATATCAAAGTGAAACTGATCGATCTGGGAGAAAACTATAAAACACCCAAGGAGGGTTCCGCACAGTACCAAGACTTGTTGGTTTCCATTGAGAATAACTTCAAGCCTATCTTCGATAAGCTCGCCGGATATAGAACAGTTGTTATCAATAATATAGTGCCGTAAGTTACAAATTATCGCCAGCATTTAACATTGTGCAAATATATTTATTGGTGAATTTATAAATTCAACTAGACTGAGAATTAACAGTCGAATTAGGAATCCAAGAAGCTGATTTGTTGAATCAGCTTCCACAGATTGTTAATTAATGTGTCAGTTTTTATACATCAGTTGAGTTCATTAATTCAGCATAATTCGCGATAGAAAATAACACGTCAACCCACCTTGAACTTGAATTCTTCTGACTAGTTTCGAATTAACTATCTCATAAATATTTGGGGATCTTGTTCCAAAAATAGTTTAAACAAAATTTCTGTTCTATATAAAAGGCATTGAAAGTATTGTATCGTCTTCCATATATGACACTCCAACGAATCAACTGTATAAGGAAACAAATACATTATCTTTGAAAGAGCACTTTTTAATCAATACTCTCAAAATTTCCTATTATATCATAAACAAAAAGCTTAAATCAAATTTTATATTAATTATTAATTCCCAGATTCATGATCTTCACACTATACAATAGAACTTGTTTCATCTTGAAGCTGCAAATTCTAAACTTGGACAAAGACTATGAATTTCCGTTTTTTTTTCACTGTTTTTTTTTCCCTTCCTGTTCACTTTAATATGACTGTTATTCCGAGATATCTTAAGGGTATGTAAGTTTTGTTCACTATTCGTAATCTCAATTATACAACAGTCGATAATACTTCATGAATGATCTTATACCAGGAATTACTATCTGATCATTCATGACATTCCTACTAGAAAATGAATTATACTTTATATATTATTTGTATGAAATGTATCAATAACTGAAATAAATAAATAGTTTGTTTTGATGGATGTGACCAATAAGCACAACCAAAAAACAAATGTGAACCAATAAAAACCAAGTAAACAGATCGCTCTGACACCTGTCAAAAACCATGCTAGGTGGCGTACGCATATTTTCTATCGCGAATGGTTATTCATCTTTTGTTCTAATTCGTTCAAAATACTGAATAATCAAATCAATGATGACTGTTCACTCAATTAGTCTAATTATTCTGTGTTTAGTGAGAACAATGAGATAGTGGCCACAATGAGCTTGCTCTTAGAAAGACCGGTGGCAGAAAAGGGCAGAGCACTAACCACCAATACGAATGAAATGAACGATAACATTCACCGACTGCTCGAAAAAAGCGTAGGATCTGGAAGAGTGGGAAATCTCAAAGTTGATCCACAATATTTGGTTTTCGAGCCACAAAGCAGTAAGTTTCTTTCAAAATTAGGGAAGGAATTCAAAGTTATTATCTATTTCACAATTTATTTCCAATAACTTTTTGTTTATGTTGGAAATGACCTTGAATATTTATTTTAGCGACCACCAATTTGATTTCTGCTGCTTCCTCAGTAAAAGAAGATGGATTTTTCAATCTGTCAGAAGCCAAACTGTATATTGTACTGGGTTGCCTAGCTGCTCTCGTTCTGGTGGCCATCATTCAAGCCAGTTGCACCCTTTACAAGGGAAGTACCATATCCACAACCAACAATAAGGTAATGAGATGATTATAGGTGATCATATCATTAATAACCACAGTAACATAAGATAAACTGAAAAGTTTGAAGAATTTCACATCTAAAACCAGCTGTACAAGGTGGCTCATCATTGAGATCTCGTGAGCCGTAAGAAATACAGGGTTGGTCAAATAATGGCAGAGTTGCGGAAACTTATGCCTAACATAATGACGTTTAGAAACTTGGAAAATTCCGAATATTTTCGGAGATATATACGAAGAAAACCGAAATTTCCTAATACCCCGACTATTTTTTTCATTTTTAAGTCATTTGAAGAAATGAATCGAAATGATCATAGCATTCAGACCTTTGGATATCCCAAAAGCTATGTCCAATCACAAATCTCTTATTTTCAAATGTTTCGTTTACAAATACTCACAAACTGGTAATTTTTGTAATAGCTCATAGGTTTCGGATTATCCAAACGTGTGAACAAATTTATAAATTTTAAAATTCAGGTCCGTAGGTATTTAAAAAAGTAAAGTTGATGGTTTCTGGAACCCAAAAAGTCAGATTTGATATTTAAAAACGGCAACTTTAAGGAGAAAAAGTGGCCATGATGAAGTGTCATTAATTTCTATCAATTTCTTCAAATAACTTGGAGAAAATAATATAAAAGGGGTTTAGGAAATTTCGGTTTGTTTCGTATATCGCCATATTTTCCAAAAACGGCATTTTGTTAGCCATAAATTTTGCACAACTTTGCCATAATTCAACCGACCCTGTATCTCTTACGGTTTACGAGATACCAATGATGACGGTCGAATTCCAGCCACCTTGTATATTGAAAAATATATTTGAGTCACTCTAATTCTATTGGTAATTTTTTCTTCTTCGCGAAATCTCTTTTATTTGCCAAAATTATGAAAATTTTAAGAACGAGTTGTACTTGGGGATCTTATTTTTCTCACCAATTTGAAAAAAGGAACAATACACTGACATGTCAGATCTTGACATGCAAAGAAGATAATGTGAAGAGAACAATAAAACAAACTATCTAAATTAATGATCGTAGTATCGTTGTGACCGTTGAAATATTCAAATTATTAGCCGCTTTCCACTTATGGAGATCGAACTATAACACATTCGGTCGCTTCATAAGCAGGAGCGGCACTATTTCAACGGCCACTACGATGCTACAATCATTTATAGAAACCCTGTAGATGATCGTAACATTAACAACACATTACATATGAAACATTGAAAAGTTAGAAACATTCAACATATCACCAGCCGTATATTAGGAATCCTATTTGAATCCTTGGCAGTTATTGGTAATTTTTTCTTCTTCTGGAAAACTCGTTTATTTGGCAAAAATATGAAAATTTGAAGAACGACAATAATTCACTGACATGTGTGATGCGAAGAAATCAATGTGAAGAGAATAATCAAAACGATCCGTTTCCATCCAGGACCACCTGATACCGAACTCTGCATGGAAGAACTATTCGGCCAACACGAACTACGCCTTCGAGGCGTTCGAGCCCGAAGAGAAGAAGCAAAAACAAACGAACGGCAGCGGCGGCCATCATGGGAGGCCGGCGGCGAACATCGAATCGCCCTCCTCGAAGAATGGGAGCCGCCCCATCCAGAGGCCGCAGACCAGGCCGCCCAGCGCTCCCACCCAGCAGCATCAGCAGCACCACCAGCAGCAGCAGCAGCAGCCGAATAGCTACCAAGGCGACACCAGGTCGCTGCAACGGCCCAGGGGGGCTCATCCTCACAACGCGAACTCGTAAGTACAGGGTGGCTGGAATTCCAGGCTCATCATTGGGATCTCGTGAACCGTCAAAAATACAGGGTCGAAAAAAAAAACAATTTGTTTATTTGTAGCAAGTTTCAAGTAGAACCGAAGAAATTAGATGTGGGGTCCCTCAAGCATCGATATTAGGTACTGATTTATTTCTGATATATACAGGGTGTTTCAAAAAACCTAACCCCCTTGCTAGGGTAGGTAGAACATTGCAAAATAAGTTGGGTTTGCTTAGTGAAAAAATGTAACTAACGGCATCGTTTTCATGAAAAAATTATTTTTGTACACATTTTTCACGATTATTCCGAAACTACTGGCAACATGATGTTTCTTTCAATACATTCAAGTGGAATGCTCATTCAATAAATTGATTCACCTAACTTATACCGGGTGGCTACGGAAGTATTGCCTAAGGAATATCTCAGTTATTGTATGAAGTAGGTTTGTGAAATTTGGAGCGTCGATATAATGACATAAGATCTAGAATTTGAGCATATTGACATGTCGAAGTTAACTTCCGGTCTGACCAGAAGAACCATCAACTTTCTTATTTTAAATTGAAACCCTATTTTTTTTTTCTTTTCGCTTTATTCAGCATTCAATTCCCTTTCTAATGACATATCACAAGTTGGTATCTAACCAAAAACTAGATCAGAAAAAAATTATTATTGAAATTCACCGAGTAGGCCGTGGAAGCAAAATGAAAGCCAAAAAATGACTTTCTATTATATCATCGGAAAGGAATGGTTATGCTGAATAGTACAGGCAAGAAAAAGTTGTATGTTCCTATTCAAGTTATGGACCTACAGAGTATTGTTTTTTTCCCAATTTTTCCAATATTTTTTTTGGCGGCTTTTTATAACGCCAACGAATGAAAATAAAATATCACAGTAGTAGCAACTGTTATCAAGTGACGAATGGTTTCCATAGCCAACTTTTCAATTTTTGACTTTCATTTTGCTTCCACGGCCTACTAGGTGAATTTCAATAATAATTTTTTCTAGTTTCTGGTTAGATACCAACTTGTGATATGTCATTAGAAAGGGAATTGAATGCTGAATAAAGCGAAAAAAAAAAAAAGGGTTTCTATAAATAAGAAAGTTGATGTTACTTCAGGTCAGACCAGAAGTTAACTTCGACATGTCAATATGCTCAAATTCTAGATCTTATGTCGTTATATCGACGCTCCAAATTTCACAAACCTACTTCATACAATAACTGAGATATTCCGTAGGCAATACTTCCGTAGCCACCTGGTATAACAATGTTTTTGAGTGAGTTGACATCATATGGGAAAAACTTGTAATACTAATTTATTTCGAAATTCGACTTGGGCATTAAGTTAAACCGGGATAAAGTGGCGCATGGAGTTAGTAACACAGCCTACACAGAACACGCAGAAAGAGATGATGATGTGGTTGTGAGCATCAGAGAAGAAGTAGGACGGTGTATGTAGGTGGGCGTGGAAAACTACCAGCTGAGCGTGAGAGCGGGCCAGCTGCTTAGTGGACCTCGGTCTCTAACAGGGGTTAACGAGGATAGCTAGCAGGCCTGCCACTGCGGCATATGGTAGTGAGTACATTATTAGCCTACAAAACACAGCCGAAAAACTCTGAAAGAGAGCTGATGGGCGGTGCCTGAAAAGGATGTTAGCCAGCTCTCTTAAGCGAACCACATCAGTCATTGAAAAACACCTTGGGGCTTGCAAGAAGGTGCCATTAGGGACTATTTGCTGACGTTCAAACGTCCCCCACCAGTACCAGTGGGCATCAAGTTTTGAAAAATGGACCAAACAATCGGGGCCACGTGACTTTCGCGACATAAAAAGTTACATGTTTTCGAATTAATCGTTGAAAATAAGCATATATGTAATTGCATTTCAAAAAATTTTGCTATGACAAGTTGTGTCTATTCCAATTTTACATAATGCATGTATCTCAAATTTGAACGTTCTATTACAACATTTAATTTTTGATATTCTTTCAATTTCTACGCAATTTCTGTAATATTAAGATCAAATTAACACCCTCAAAACTATTTCATTCCAGTAGCTTTATCAAGCTAATAATGTTCAATATTTGCTTTACTAGGCAGAAAAGGATAAGAATCAATGACGCGGCTGGTGTATCATAGTTTATTGTTTCCGATTATAGGATAAACTTTACTTCTCATATTACTTTTTCACGGAGTTTCTTAGAAAAAAAAAATCGTTCATGGAATGTACGTCGCAAGAGTGATAAATTTTGTCAGTGGTTTCTACGTCAAGCTAATAAAAATCAACGAAAATGTGTAATTTCAGCATGGATAGGTCGACGTTTTCCCTGCCGAGGACAGCATACGACAGGGTCCACCGGAATGGTCAGGACATGCAACAACCGGACTTTTATTTCATGCCTTCGCAAAGGAAATACTCCGGAGAAGTGGTCAGGGTCTACGTAGATTACAACAACAAACCCAAATGATCTACTTACAGCTCTGTAAATGATTCATTATTGCACTGATCAAAATACAAGACATCTTCTTGTACTGTGTGATTAAATAAGAAGAGGCTAGTCGAGTTTATCGCCTCATCAGATATATTCAGCAAGATGACACGCTTGTCATTTCTATCATGGAGATCTCGGAAACCATAGGAGATAGAAAGATTAGAGAAAAGTTGCACATTTTCAAGCCTAACAATATGTCGTTCAGAAAGTCTTGAAATTCCAAGTGGTTTCGGAGATATGCCTAAAAAGCCGAGATTTTCTGATTTCGTTTTAATTTTTTTCTGACGTTATATAAAGAGATATTTCTCATTGCCACTTTTCAAGATCTACTAAAAAGCGTAGAGATATTTTATACAGGGTGTACTTTTTTCACGGCCATATAAAAAAATAACTAGTTGATGATTGGTTTCTCTGAAATGAGTCGTAAGGAAAATCTCTCAACGCTGTTGTGTAGAGCTCAAAAAGTGGCAATGAAAAAGTATCTTGTGTTTTCTTATATCTCTTTTTATAACTTCAGAAAAAAAAATAGAAGCGGAATCTTTTTTTTTTCAGTTTTATAGACATATCCGGAACTACTCGGAATTTTAAAACTTTCTGAACGGCATATTCTATAGTGGCGTTCACAACCAAACTTTTTACGTTTCGTATTCTGTTTGGTGAAGCAAAATCAAAATAACGCAAAAGGCTGAATATTTTCAGCTTTTCGCGTTGCAAGATGCCAAGATATGTAAAACTGGTGAAAATAGACAAATACTAAATACTTAACATATTCTCACATCTCGTTGATGATCAACCCAATTTTTCCCCTATTTAGGATTAATTTTCTTTTCCAGTATGGAATACAAGGACCAATTTACATATCCGCCAGATCTCATGAATATTATTCATTATTTAATGAATATTATTGTTATGATTATTTCATTTTATTTTAGGATGAAGCACAAGTGACAAAAACCGAGGCAACTGAGACAAGTCGTAAAACATTACCTTAACGTTATTTTTGTTGAGAATAACATTTGCTTCAGTTTGATTCACGTTCAATTTCAGAAATTAAACGTGAACTAAACCTATGCTGCAAATGTCATTCACAACAAGAAAAAATCAACGTGACTTTTTATGGCTTAGTGGCCTTGGTTTTGTTATTTATTTTTCATCCTGAAATGAAGTAAATAATCATAACAATAATATTGATTAGATAATCAATAATATTGATTAGATAATCAATAATATTCATAGAACTGGCGGTGACGAAAATTGATCCTCATTCACTACTTGAAGAGAAAAATCAATCTTCAACAAGAAAATAATGAATTGAACAGTATACCTATCTACTATTCTGTGAATTCACGAAAAAAATCATAGAAACATTATCATAACTTCCATATTATTACAGAATGTTCCATATTATTCGTCTATTTTTACTATTTTCACAGACGATGGCTTCTTGTAACGCAAAGAGCTGAATATTTTCAGATTTTTGCGTCATTTCAATTTCAGATTTTCCTTCACCGATCAGAATACGAAACGTAAAAAGTTTGGTTGTAAACGCCGCTTTAGGCTTGAAAATCCGCAACTTTTCTCCAATTCAACCATCTCCCTATCTCTTATAGTTTCCGAGATCCCCACATCATCATCATCATGCTAAATGATACTCATAAACTGATCAGCTACTACAATTGATTCAATTTGATCACACATTTGTATCAGTATCTGTATCATATAATTTGGATGGTAAGTAAATTTTTCTTCGTTACCAAGATGTATGGCGCAAATCGAAATTTCAACGATGTTCGAAAAAATTTCATTACAAACAAATATTGGCATATATTTTTTGATAAATTACTTGAGAAGTGAATTCCCAAGGCTGATATTATTAGTTAAGTAATTAGTAACTCAACAGATTTTTCGTATATTGAAATTATAGATGCAATTGTTGTCCAGTGACAAAATAATGAATGATTCTAGTCTCAAAAATAATACCAATATATTTACGAATATCTATCAAATAGGTAGCTAATTCAAATAAATAATATACCATCAATATTTGCATATAGGGTCGCTGAATTACCTACTAGTCATGACTATTTCTTGACTGCATAAATCAATAAATGATAAAATAGAAATTCGTACCGATAACAACAGTGGAATAGTCGAAATTGACTAATAAAAATATCGGCGATCAATAAATAAAAAACTGTCCTGTTTGAGGATATTTTTAAACCCTTCTAGATACATCAATATTGTTCAGCAGTCTCTATATCTACTGATATTTGGACCTCTTGGACAAGTAATATTTAAGAAATATTGAAAAAAATATTATGAGTGTTTATTAACTTGTATGTACATATTATACCAATACTAAATCTATATTCTATCAAAGTAATAATATGTTAGTGATTATTGTATATATTTTCTTATTATCTTCATATAGTTGACTTTTATATCAATTTTTATTGTGAAACTGTTGATAATTAAAAAAGGTAGAAATACTATCATGTCTCATTGTCCTTTGGCGGGTTCTGTCGACGGTTCTATAGTTAATTGAATTTTTCAACACCAAAAACATGAAGTAAGGACAAAAATACTGAGAGAATAACCAATAAAAATTGACCAGCGGAAAAATATACTTATTGAAATTATGTTCAGTCTGAAGGGTATTGAAATGAGATGGTATCACTGAAAGATATAGGATTCTAAAGATAATCACCATTCCGAACTAAATTATAATTGAGAGCAAAAAAAGTACAATTTTATTACAATAAAGGAATATACTTATAAATTAACATTGAATACAGGACTAGGTGACTAAGTATGACTTTTTGTAAATTGAACATAATCAAAATAAAGATCGGATACAGTTTCTGTTCAAGATGGCTAGAAAAAAATCATGTAACAATTTTGCCCTGAACAATAACTTCCTAGTCATCAGTCATGCAAATAGTGGTAAGATTGTTTAGAATTATGTAGGCATTATTCGAGCACCATTTTGAACTAGTAAAAGTTAAATAGTTACACATAATGTCTTATTATTTCACATAATACACCAAGTCGTTGATATGTTCAACTAAAAGCTAAAAATGTTCATTCTAAAAGTAGGTAATCTCAAATTTGCTGTTGAAATCAATATTCCTGCCAAGATATTAAAATATTGATGACAAGTATATTTGTTTCCTAAAAATTCTATTTTCTTTGGAATGGGTCTTTGATATGTATTAAATATACCAATTTCAAAAATCATTCCTTAATCCATATTTCACCCAAAATGAATCTTTTAAATCATATTGTATTGTAATTATACATATCAAGATGTACAATTAATTTCACTTGTACACAGAAACCACTTCAAGACAAATCAGCCAAAAATAATTATGAAACAAAAGGGGGACTTTCTATATATAGCCTGAAAATATGATCATTGAAATATATTTTAAAGAATGATTGAAAAAATATTGGTACAAAATATAGACTATGATATTATATCTCAGAAATATTCAGTTAATTATAATAATAATTATAATTGTATCACATTGTTGCTCATTGCAATGAGCTATTTACATAAGAGGTTGAATAATATAATAATTATGTAGAATGCTAATGAATTCAAGAATGTTAAAATAGTTATTTATTATACAAGGGAAAAAAGTAGTAGATTTTAGCTCCAGGTTGTGTTGTCTCCCGACGCGTAGCGGAGGGAGACAAAAAACCGTGAGCTAAAATCTAATATTTTTCCCGTGTATAATACACTATTTTTTTCTGTGACAGAAGGAAGGACGAATCAATATTGAGAAGATATTACATTATTTCGAAATCTGAAAATTATCGACGTGAAATTTCAAGTTTTTAACAGTAGGGACACCTGCGTTTTATAGACATCTTTATCATTCTTTTGAAGTAATCAAATATCTGATGTCACTTCTGTCAGTTCAATTCTGTGATTCGATTTTGAAAAATTGCGAATTCAGTAGTTGTTTAGTAATATACGAAACCGCGAAGTCGAATGGAAGATAAAAGGACTTGCAGTTCTTTCTCAGAGACGGTATTATTGACTCATATTTCGGAACTATAGCACAACAAAAGCCATTAACAGAGTATATATATGTGATATATATCCGGGAAAGAAGTACTCACTTTTTTCCCACGGGAAAAAAGTAATTTATGAAAAGTGACATTTTATAACCTGCCAACAGAGATGAAATGCCAAACTTTTTTCCCGTCACAGAAAAAAAAGAACAATAGATAGATATGGATATAAATAGTTCAATTTTTCTGTTCTTATTATCAACATTTTTTTTTCTTGGGCCCTTAATCAAAAAGTAGAAATAAAAATAATTAGGTGAATTCATTAGCATTGATTCTGGTCCAAAATGTCTGGAATGATAATGTTTGTTGGAAGAAAAATCTGGAAACTTCTGAAATTCAACATACAAACATGTGGAAATACAAATACATCAATGACACATTATTTCATCAATAGTAGTTTCAATCAAATTTGTATAATTTCAATGAACAATTTAAATTACCTGATGCCATTGTTTAGGCCATGTTAATGCTAATTTGAATGCAAAGTTGATTGAATCATGAATCTCCAGCAGAGAAACGAAATTTAGGATTTCAAGAGTTTTGTTACTTGTCCTCAACATAAACTGAATAACAAAAACTTTGTAAAAAATAATCAGAAGTACTTACCAGCAGTGATCAAGATAATATTGCCCTTGTGACTGGCACACTTTCTGTACCCAACAGTTCATCATCATCAGAACTAACATTTTCCATATCATCTTTGTGGATTTTTTGTTTCTTTTTAATGGACCTATACTTGATATGCACCCTTTTTAACAGGCTCTCTTCAGAACTAATTCTCCTCCTTTTGGATGGTGCTTTCAACATTAAGAAATTGTCTGTTACCCAAAACATCAGCATCTGAAATAGGTAGAGAGATATTTATAATAATTTATATGTTCAGAAACCAGAATTATTTCATACAATGAATCATTGTTATTATTCTCCAAAGTATATATTTAAAGATTACAAATTATTAAAATATCAGCAGCACTTTTTTCCTCTCTCTGATTAGTGAATTGAACTTGCAGGAGAAAGAAAAAAGCATTATACAAGATGTAATTTAATCAGGGTTGGCAGGAATTAATTCATATGAATTAAGTCAGTGATTTAATTCGTGAATTAATTCAAATGACTTTTTTCAAATAAGTCGTGAATTAATTCAAAATGTATCAAATGGGAACAAATCGCATTATTACCTTCAATTTAAACTAGTTTAAAATGAAATATCCGATGGCATCTGACAACTGAAAACCGTGAAGCACCACACGCGGAAAACAAAATTTTCTAAGAGCCCCTTTACAGTTTACAATATTTCATTGCATGCAATTGATTGCTCCAATTCATATTTTCGGCAAAAATAATATGTAGGCTTTTCAACGCTGAATCGGAATTACCGGCTTGCAATGTCTTTTTGTCATCATAGATTCTGTGTATTACTTCTCACCGAGTTTTGAGTTGGGTCAAGAGTTGGGTAGAAGAAACCATGAGAAAGGCAAGAAAAGTAAGATCCAATGTTAATCTAATGATGCATGAAATTCCGAAAATCTAACATGTCACCACTAGAATTGCATCAGTAATACAAATTACCACAATGAAAATAAATATGTCCGGACTCATTTCTTGCAATGCATCGAAAAATTGCTTTCCAAGGTGACACCAATCCGTAGGCGCGCCATGGATATTGCTGCATTTCATTGAAAATAACTGTAAAGCGCCTCTATAATGAAGATTGTGAATGAGTAATATAATTTGCAAAAGCATCATCTTTCATTCAATCAATAGTCTCAGTTTATATTGCAAAAATTGCATATTTCAAGTATTTTATTTTCACGCTTTGAGATTTTTAACGGAAATAAAAACTTAGTTTTTTCCATGTTCTTGTATTATGTTCAAGTAAATAGAATTCGATTTGTTCTCAAATGAATTGATTAAAAAAAGTCCGAATTAATTCAACAAGTCAGACTTTTTTGACTTTTTTATAAAACTCATTACTTATTCCAACGAGTGTATAATCTCTGCCAACCCTAAATTCAATTAATGGCTGAACATATAGGATATGGTTCTTTAGCTCATTTTAAGAAGAAGAGTTCATGAGAACATATTCACTAATCTTCAAACTTTTGATCTACACAGAGTGGTAAAAAATAGTTTTCTTATCATAACTTCACCTACTAACCACCAAGAGTCATTTTTTGTTGCAGATTTTTCAATATTTCTACCAGTGGCGTCCATATGGGACGTATACTGGAGATTTTTCTAAAAAAATATTGTATGCCTTTGATTTTTCAGAAAATAATAATCATTTTTGGAATCCTCATTTAGGGGTAGGTAGGTATATAATGTTGGATGTGTGAAGGTATGTATGAATGTATTATCAATAAACAAGGTTAAAGGGTAAATCAAAACTAATGACATTCCAATATTTCCAATAGCCAATGGAAAAAAGCACTTCCACCTGTAGTTATGTCAATTGTCATTATGTCTTGTTAACTGATCAACAAGTGTTTACAACATAATGATATTTGATTTGTTATGATAAGTATATATTTGTATTGGCCAATAATTGATGCTCAACAAAATTGGTACATTCAACTTTTACCTAAGTAACAATATTTGGAATGGATAATCATATCTATCCACTAATTTTTTGAAGATTTATATTTTTTATACTCACATTTACAAAAAACGGAACAATGAGCATCACAAAGGCAACTTTGACTCTAGTATCAGGTATGGGGAACAAGATGAAGTCTGTAACATTATCCCAGAAGTCTAGCTGCATGAATAATGTGATGGAAATTTTCACAATTATCATGAGGCAAACATACAGACAACACTGAGTCATCCATGCATTTGAAGAGGGGGGTTTTCCTGAAATCATAACAAACCTTGATTCAACATAATTCATTGCAAAATGAAATGGCATTTTTTCTATATTTTATTATGTACCCACTATTGTTGATTTTTGGGCAGGAACAAAAATAATGAAGGATGAAATGAAATCAAGATTAATTAATGAAAACAACCTGTAACTCATTTTTTTGCCAACACACCAATTTTCACTGATAAGTGTCAAGATGAATACCTGGTGAATTTTCAAGACAAATATCTTCCATTTTTATGTTGCAAACAGGAGCAGATTCATTCGGGAAATATTTATCAAAAAATCTCCTCCAAACCATTTTCAATACAAATTATCAGCTACAAGCTAATGCATTTCTCTTTTAGGCTTTCTAATAGAAACATTTTTGAAAGCAGTGACATTTTGGGGAAAACCATCTGGTTTGTCCTCACTACACATTCATTAAAATAATACTAATATTTTTTATTTTATAGAAATGAGGAGAGAAAATCACAATAATGTGGAATAATGAATATACCACCTCCTGGATTAACCTATACAGACAGTATTCAAAACTAATGAATATTTTTTTGTCATTGAACTGTTCATCATGTTAATTAATCTATATTGACAATTATTATATCCAGTTCAGGAAAATAGGTACATTTATATTTACCATATTCACCAAAATGAATAGCTTCCCATCCTGGATTTTTTGCTAAGTACTGGCTCAGTCTAATACCAATGAAAATAATTAAGAGTCCTAAAGAGGAATCCAATAAGAAGTTGATCAAGTACCTGAAAAAAGGAACAAAGTCTAGAATGTTTTATACCTACACTTGCCTACAACTTATTGTTGTAATTATTCTTATTACTCACTTGCTTATGAACTGTTTTATTTGTGTTTAATTCAATATTTATAGAGATAATTGAAAGTACAACTCACCAAGTACATGGGTCCCCTTTATATTGTCCTGCAATCCAAACATTTGCTAAATGAATAGCTATTGCACCCATTCCTTGCTTCGAAGTGTCATAAAACCATATAAGCCATGATCTCCTTTCTGCATATGGTTCACAAAATCTCTTAGCTGAAAAAATTCAGTTCAAAGTGATAAAATTCAAGGTAATTTTGAATATAAAGTTTCCAGTGATCCAAAAGAAGAACGAATAGCTGTATTGTGAAGAAAGAAGGTGAAATTTTGAACTTTTTAGTGAAGTTTGTTGAATAGTGATTTGATCACCAAAATACCCAAAACAGTTTTTCAAAAAAACACTCATCTCATGGAAGGTGCTAATTCAACAATTAGAATCAAAAATAATAATACAATAGATCTTACCAATCAGGCATGTGAAGGCTAAAGATGCTAAAAGGACTTGTAAAAACCATCCAAACACATCCGTAAGGGCATCTTTGGAACAGTGTGGAATACCATTGGATTTGAGACTGTTTTGCATTATAGTTATCCTGGTATAATTATAATTATCATCCATAATTACATTATTCTAAATTTCAGACGAGGTCAATTCTTGAGTAATGAATTTTATTGTTCCAAAACTTCAAAAAAATAAGGAAATTATAAGTATTTTAGATTTTTTGAACCTTTCAAGGAACAAGGATCAGCAATTCAATAAGAATGAGGTTATGAGGTTAAAGGTAACCATCAGTCAGATGTGTCACTTATGTCACAACTAAGATGTCACAACTGTCAGAAATCCAGAACGAAGAAGAAACCTATAAAGAATTTCAGATATGGACTATGGGTGAAGAAAACTGTAAAATAGTTGAAGAAGAAACCTGTATTAGAGAATCTCACTATATGTCACAACACTGCTACACTTCACGAATCCTCCAATAGATGGCTCTCAGATTCCTGAACAACTCATCAGTTCTACCAACCTTGCTCAACAGCTTGCAGAAGAAAGAGGGTTATCATTTTTGAACTTTTTTCATCTAAATTCAGTGTTAGAATTAGCTGAAAACTTGCATGCAGATTGTTTTCGATGAGCTGAACAAGAACGTTGATTGATATTGAAAGTGGGTCGGAGCTAGAGAGCTGTGCTCCTACTCAGCACTATGTAATCCCCTGTATACATAATTCGAACGCCACCTTTTTCAAGTAATTCAAGGCGTCAGAATGAGCCAAAAACTAGATTGTTTTCGATGTGTTCAACAAGAATCTGAAATCCGTTTCTTTCTATCTCTCTCAGTTTTCTAGATAATTGAGTTCGAACTAGAGAAACATTGGGTTACTAGAACTGAACGAATTCTTATCAAAGGTACCACAAGGAATGAATAGTGGGTGAAATTTACTTTTTCTTTTTTCGTTAGAGAAAGAGAACTGTGCTTCTACTCCGCACTAGAGCATCATTTTAAGTCCCTGTATAACGAATTTGAATGCCCTACAACAAAGTTGATTTTTGGGTCCAGAAAAGAAAGAAGGTTAACCCCTTTGAACTTTTTTCGACTGATTCCAGGCGTCAGAATGAGCCGAAAACTTGCAAATAGATTGTTTTCGATGTGTTCAACAAGAATCTGAAATCCGTTTTTGTCTATCTCTCTCAGTTTTCTAGATAATCGAATTTCGAACAAGAGAAAAATTGGGTTACTAGATCCGAACGATTTTTTATCGAAGGTACCACAAGGAACGAATAATGGGTGAAATTTTCTTTTTCTTTTTTCGTTAGAGATAGAGAACTGTGCTTTTACTCCGCACTAGAGCATCACTTTAGGTCCCTGTATAACGAATTTGAATGCCCTACGACAAAGTTGATTTTTGAGTCCAAAAATGAAAGAAGGTTAACCCCTTTGAACTTTTTTCGACTCATTCAAAGCGTCAGAATGAGCCGAAAACTTGCAAATAGATTGTTTTCGATCTGTTAAACAAGAATCTGAAATCCGTTTCTTTCTATCTCTCTCAGTTTCCTACATAATTGAATTTCGATCTCTACAAGAATTTGGGTTACTAGATCCGAACGATTTTTTATCGAAGGTACCACAAGAAACGAATAATGGGTGAAATTTTCTTTTTCTTTTTTCGTTAGAGATAGAGAACTGTGCTTCTACTCCGCACTAGAGCATCACTTTAGGTCCCTGTATAACGAATTTGAATGCCCTACGACAAAGTTGATTTTTGGGTCCAAAAATGAAAGAAGGTTAACCCCTTTGAACTTTTTTCGACTAATTCAAGGCGTCAGAATGAGCCGAAAACTTGCAAATAGATTGTTTTCGATGTGTTAAACAAGAATCTGAAATCCGTTTCTTTCTATCTCTCTCAGTTTTCTAGATAATTGAATTTCGAACTAGAGAAAAATTGGGTTACTAGATCCGAACGATTTTTTATCGAAGGTACCACAAGGAACGAATAATGGGTGAAATTTTCTTTTTCTTTTTTCGTTAGAGATAGAGAACTGTGCTTTTACTCCGCACTAGAGCATCACTTCAGGTCCCTGTAAAACGAGTTTGAATGCCCTACGACAAAGTTGATTTTTGGGTCCAAAAATGAAAGAAGGTTAACCCCTTTGAACTTTTTTCGACTGATTCAAGGCGTCAGAATGAGCCGAAAACTTGCAAATAGATTGTTTTCGATGTGTTAAACAAGAATCTGAAATCCATTTCTTTCTATCTCTCTCAGTTTTCTAGATAATTGAATTTCGAACTAGAGAAAAATTGGGTTACTAGATCCGAACGATTCTTTATCGAAGGTACCACAAGAAACGAATAATGGGTGAAATTTTCTTTTTCTTTTTTCGTTAGAGATAGAGAACTGTGCTTTTACTCCGCACTAGAGCATCACTTCAGGTCCCTGTATAACGAGTTTGAATGCCCTACGACAAAGTTGATTTTTGGGTCCAAAAATGAAAGAAGGTTAACCCCTTTGAACTTTTTTCGACTGATTCAAGGCGTCAGAATGAGCCGAAAACTTGCAAATAGATTGTTTTCGATGTGTTAAACAAGAATCTGAAATCCGTTTCTTTCTATCTCTTTCAGTTTTCTAGATAATTGAATTTCGAACTAGAGGAAAATTGTGGGTTACTAGATCCGAACGATTTTTTATCGAAGGTACCACAAGGAACGAATAATGGGTGAAATTTTCTTTTTCTTTTTTCGTTAGAGATAGAGAACTGTGCTTTTACTCCGCACTAGAGCATCACTTTAGGTCCCTGTATAACGAATTTGAATGCCCTACGACAAAGTTGATTTTTGGGTCCAAAAATGAAAGAAGGTTAACCCCTTTGAACTTTTTTCGACTGATTCAAGGCGTCAGAATGAGCCGAAAACTTGCAAATAGATTGTTTTTGATGTGTTAAACAAGAATCTGAAATCCGTTTCTTTCTATTTCTTTCAGTTTTCTAGATAATTGAATTTCGAACTAGAGGAAAATTGTGGGTTACTAGATCCGAACGATTTTTTATCGAAGGTACCACAAGGAACGAATAATGGGTGAAATTTTCTTTTTCTTTTTTCGTTAGAGATAGAGAACTGTGCTTTTACTCCGCACTAGAGCATCACTTTAGGTCCCTGTATAACGAATTTGAATGCCCTACGACAAAGTTGATTTTTGGGTCCAAAAATGAAAGAAGGTTAACCCCTTTGAACTTTTTTCGACTGATTCAAGGCGTCAGAATGAGCCGAAAACTTGCAAATAGATTGTTTTCGATGTGTTAAACAAGAATCTGAAATCTGTTTCTTTCTATCTCTCTCAGTTTTCTAGATAATCGAACTTCGAACTAGAGGAAAATTGGGTTACTAGATCCGAACGATTTTTTATCGAAGGTACCACAAGGAACGAATAATGGGTGAAATTTTCTTTTTCTTTTTTCGTTAGAGATAGAGAACTGTGCTTCTACTCCGCACTAGAGCATCACTTTAGATCCCTGTATAACGAATTTGAATGCCCTACGACAAAGTTGATTTTTGGGTCCAAAAATGAAAGAAGGTTAACCCCTTTGAACTTTTTTCGACTGATTCAAAGCGTCAGAATGAGCCGAAAACTCGCTAATAGATTGTTTTCGACGTGTTCAACAAGAATCTGAAATCCGTTTCTTTCTATCTCTCTCAGTTTTCTAGATAATTGAATTTCGATCTCTACAAGAATTTGGGTTACTAGATCCGAACGATTTTTTATCGAAGGTACCACAAGGAACGAATAATGGGTGAAATTTTCTTTTTCTTTTTTCGTTAGAGATAGAGAACTGTGCTTCTACTCCGCACTAGAGCATCACTTTAGATCCCTGTATAACGAATTTGAATGCCCTACGACAAAGTTGATTTTTGGGTCCAAAAATGAAAGAAGGTTAACCCCTTTGAACTTTTTTCGACTGATTCAAAAAGCGCCAGAATGAGCCGAAAACTCGCTAATAGATTGTTTTCGACGTGTTCAACAAGAATCTGAAATCCGTTTCTTTCTATCTCTCTCAGTTTTCTAGATAATTGAATTTCGATCTCTACAAGAATTTGGGTTACTAGATCCGAACGATTTTTTATCGAAGGTACCACAAGGAACGAATAATGGGTGAAATTTTCTTTTTCTTTTTTCGTTAGAGATAGAGAACTGTGCTTCTACTCCGCACTAGAGCATCACTTTAGATCCCTGTATAACGAATTTGAATGCCCTACGACAAAGTTGATTTTTGGGTCCAAAAATGAAAGAAGGTTAACCCCTTTGAACTTTTTTCGACTGATTCAAAGCGTCAGAATGAGCCGAAAACTCGCTAATAGATTGTTTTCGACGTGTTCAACAAGAATCTGAAATCCGTTTCTTTCTATCTCTCTCAGTTTTCTAGATAATCGAATTTCGAACAAGAGAAAAATTGGGTTACTAGATCCGAACGATTTTTTATCGAAGGTACCACAAGGATCGAAAAATGGGTAAAATTTTCTTTTTCTTTTTTCGTTAGAGATAGAGAACTGTGCTTCTACTCCGCACTAGAGCATCACTTTAGGTCCTTGTATAACGAATTTGAATGCCCTACGACAAAGTTGATTTTTGGGTCCAAAAATGAAAGAAGGTTAACTCCTTTGAACTTTTTTCGACTGATTCAAAGCGTCAGAATGAGCCGAAAACTCGCTAATAGATTGTTTATCGACGTGTTCAACAAGAATCTGAAATCCGTTTCTTTCTATCTCTCTCAGTTTTCTAGATAATTGAATTTCGATCTCTACAAGAATTTGGGTTACTAGATCCGAACGATTTTTTATCGAAGGTACCACAAGGAACGAATAATGGGTGAAATTTTCTTTTTCTTTTTTCGTTAGAGATAGAGAACTGTGCTTCTACTCCGCACTAGAGCATCACTTTAGGTCCCTGTATAACGAATTTGAATGCCCTTCGACAAAGTTGATTATTGGGTCCAAAAATGAAAGAAGGTTAACCCCTTTGAACTTTTTTCGACTGATTCAAAGCGTCAGAATGAGCCGAAAACTCGCTAATAGATTGTTTTCGACGTGTTCAACAAGAATCTGAAATCCGTTTCTTTCTATCTCTCTCAGTTTTCTAGATAATCGAATTTCGAACAAGAGAAAAATTGGGTTACTAGATCCGAACGATTTTTTATCGAAGGTACCACAAGGAACGAATAATGGGTGAAATTTTCTTTTTCCTTTTTCGTTAGAGATAGAGAACTGTGCTTCTACTCCGCA